TCTATTAGTGTTTGGCATTCATAAAGAACTCGATAAATGGGTAGTGGGAGACCCAGGGTCTAGTTTACGTTCCTGGCCTTGGTAGCTGTGTGGTCTCCTGTTTCTTATTTACTTCACCATCCCTGACTGAGCCTTACTCTTCTCATCTATGAAAAAAAAAAGCAAATATGTCCCGCGTGTGTTTAGGGTTCCTTGCATCTGGAGAATTCTGAAACAAATGTAATTCAAAGTTTTTCAGTGAAGGTGACTCAACCGTGCAGCTGCCAGGAGCTGGAGGTAGGAAATCGAGGGGCGGGGCCTCCTCGCTAGGGCAACGCTCAGTGGGAGGATCGCTGCCGCGCCTACCTCTCGGCGTTAGGGAGTGGGACCCCGGGGTCAGCCGGACAGCTATTTCGGGAATCTGAATGTGGATTCGAGCGAGGAGGTTCCTGGGAGCCTCCGAAGGGCTTCCGCCAGCCTCACTAGATCAGCGAGAGCGCAGGCGGCCTCCTGCGGCTGTGACAACAAGGCGGTGGCCCAGTTAACCTCAGCGCGTCCGCCCGTCCCAGTGGCCGGCGCGGTTCGGGTCAGGGCGGTGGAGGGCGGGGACTGGGGGGCGGGACCGGGGCGGTCCCTGGCACGCCTCAGCCGCCCCGCCTCTGCAGCGTTGACAGGACCACCCGCCACCGCCAGGATCAGCTGCTGGGCACGGGAGGAACAGGAAGGGGTGGAGCTGCTGCTTGGCAAGCTGCTGAGCAATCAGCCGACCACAGCGAAGGGTAATCGGGTGCCCCCAGCGCCACCGGGCGCTTGGCCCTAGGCCGGTAGGGGCCTGAAGGGCGAACAAGCCCTGTGTGGGAAGCCCGGCTATGCCCCGCCACGGAGTGTCAACCCGCTGGGGCCATCCCAGGTTCTGCTGGAAGCAGGCACTGAAGAGGACCTCAGGAGCCCCCGGTCTGGGACTCCTGTGGATGGTCCTGAGTCTGGGGCTGGTGCTGGTTCTGCTCGACCCCATGGTTCTCTGGGTCCCTGCCAGAGCTCACCCTCTTCCTGCTCAAGACCATCCTATCAGATTCCATGGCATAGTCCCCCGGCTCCAGGATGCCTTTGGGTGGAGAAATCTCACCTGCCCAGTCTGCAAAGGCCTATTCACCGCCATCAACTTCGGGCTGAAGGTGAGCACTGAAAAGAAACTGTGGTGGAGCCAGTCAAGGGGGAGTTCTGAGGGTGGTGGCTAGGACTGATGAGGTGCCCTCAGGTCTGAATGTATCTCTGTTAGCCTGGCTTCTACAATGCCTTTACTGACTTGGCTTCCTTTTGGGGATATCCATGCCTACTTGCCATTGCTACCCCATTGTAACCTTTGTAAAGGAAAGAGTGGAGACATTGCCTGAGAAAGCCTGCCAGTCAAGCATAGGCCTGAAATGTTGCTGGTCACTGAGCTGAAGGAGAAGTAATAGCTGTTACTTCCTGGGACATAGGGGCATTCTGTAGGAGGCACTGAGGTCTCTTCATCATGTGGCACTGAGTCCAGCCCAGATCCAGTTTGGATATAGAGGCCCACAGGTTTGTGGTCTGGTTGAACTGGTTCCCCTGCCCCATCTCTGACTTCTCACTGTTGGTTCCTTCCATCACAGAAAGAGCCCAATGTGGCACGGGTGGGCTCAGTGGCCACCAAACTGTGCAAGATGCTGAACATAGCACCACCCACTGTGTGCCAGTCAGCTGTCCAGCTTTTTGAGGATGATATGGTGGAGGTGTGGACACGCTCAGTACTGAGTCCATCTGAGGCCTGTGGCTTACTCCTGGGCTCTACCTGTGGACATTGGGATATCTTCTCATCTTGGAACATCTCTTTGCCAGCTGTGCCGAAGCCACCCCCCAAGCCGCCCAGCCCACCGGCCCCAGGTGCCCCTGTCAGTCGGGTCCTCTTCCTCACTGACCTGCATTGGGATCATGACTATTTGGAAGGCACAGATCCTAACTGTGCAGATCCTCTGTGCTGCCGACGGGGCTCTGGCCTGCCACCCACCTCCCAGCCAGGTGCTGGATACTGGGGAGAGTACAGCAAGTGTGACCTGCCCCTGCGGACCCTGGAGAGCCTGTTAAGTGGGCTGGGCCCTGCTGGGCCTTTTGATATGGTATACTGGACAGGAGACATCCCTGCCCATGATGTCTGGCAACAGTCTCGTCGGGACCAGCTGCGAGCTCTGACCACCATCACAGACCTCGTGAGGAAGTTCTTGGGACCAGTTCCAGTGTACCCTGCTGTGGGCAACCACGAGAGCACACCCGTCAATGGCTTTCCTCCTCCCTTCATAGAGGGCAACCAATCTTCCCGCTGGCTCTATGAGGCAATGGCCAAGGCCTGGGAGCCCTGGCTGCCTGCTGAAGCCCTTCATACCCTCAGGTACTTCAGGTTCATTTAAAGTCAAGAAGGGAAATGAAAGATGGCTGAGTGAAGGGAGAAGGAAACTTGGGGCATTATCTCTGACTGCTCAGGGCTCTTCACTGCTCCTCCCTAATCTGACTCCACCTTCACTTTCTACCCTTATCTCTTTCAAAAAGCTAGAAGCACAACCTCTCCACACCCTAGCCTGGATTCATGTTGACTTTTTTTTTTTTTTTCACTTTACTAGGGATTGAACCCAGGGTCATTTAACCACTGAGCTGCATTTCCAGTCCTTTTTGTTTTTTATTTTGAGACAGAGTCTAAGTTGCTTATTACTTAGGGACACACTAAGTTGCTGAGGCTGGCCTTGATCTTGTGATCTTACTTCCCCAGTCTCCTGAGTCAGTGGGATTACAGACTTGTACACCATGTCTGGTTATGTTGGCCCTCTAAAATTATTTCCCCTCCTCTTTAACATCCCCAACTTTTCCCAATTTTCCTAGGCTCAGGTCATCTTCTGACAGAATGGCCTTTTCCCACTCTAACTCACCTTTATCTCTTCCCCCATGCTCCTGGTGCTCCCAACTCTCTGAGCCATTCTTTTCTCATAAGAGTCCTACAATTAGTGCAGTTTAGACTTCAGGTAGAATGCAAACTCCTCCAGTGTGGGGATGACCTCATGTGTGCCTCTGCCTAGCACAAGACTGGACATGCAGGATAGGATTATGAACAAGTGTTGACCATCTTGTTCACTTTGTTTCAGAATTGGGGGGTTCTATGCCCTTTCCCCACGCCCAGGCCTCCGCCTCATCTCTCTCAATATGAATTTTTGTTCCCGTGAGAACTTCTGGCTCTTGATCAACTCCACAGACCCCGCTGGACAGCTCCAGTGGCTGGTGGGGGAACTTCAGGCTGCTGAGGATCGAGGAGACAAAGTGAGGGACAATGGTGGGAATCTTGTGGAGTAGGTACAGCTGAGGGTTGGGGGAGAAGCAAGCTCCTGTCAAACTAGAGCATCTATGGGCTGATTTTCTGGTGTTGTCAACCTGCTTCCTGGGGGTCCAGTTCATGGTCACTCTGGAAAGCCCTTTTTTCTATACCCCCTGGCTAGGGTTGGGGTATAGAAGAGTCCCCGATAACCACCCTTCTCTCTCCCCCAGGTGCATATTATTGGTCACATTCCCCCAGGGCACTGCCTGAAGAGCTGGAGCTGGAATTATTACCGGATTGTAGCCAGGTAGGAAGAAGTGGGTGGGAATAGGATGGTGGGGGTTGAAGAGTCTAAAGATTAAAATTCCCTTGAACATCTCAGCTTCTCTGCTGTTCCATGGGTTGGTGGGAGGCTACCTCTGAAGAAGCTTGTGAAAGAGCATCCTAAATCCCTAGCTCTTCCTCCCCCACTCCAGACACTTTTGAATATAATTTATGTCTTCTGGCCAGGTATGAGAACACTCTGGCTGGTCAGTTCTTTGGCCATACTCATGTAGATGAGTTTGAGGTCTTCTATGATGAAGAGACTCTGAGCCGGCCACTGGCCGTAGCCTTCCTGGCACCCAGTGCCACCACCTACATCAGCCTTAATCCTGGTGAGTGATGCAGGGGGGAGCCTCCTTATCACGGTGTTGGTGGGACAGGTGAAGGGTATGGGAGCCAAGGCTGGCAAGGGGAAGGATATGTGGTCCTCCCTGGACTTGCCTTTGCTTCTTTTCCATTCAGTCAGCCCTCCTTCCTTGCAGGTTACCGTGTCTATCTAATAGATGGAAACTACACGGGGAGCTCTCATGTGGTCCTGGACCACGAGACCTACATCCTCAACCTGACGCAGGCGAACGCACCAGGAGCCAAACCACAATGGCAGCTCCTCTACAAGGCTAGAGAAACCTATGGGCTGCCCAACGCGCTGCCGGCTGCCTGGCACAACCTAGTATACCGCATGCGGGATGACATGCGACTCTTCCAGACCTTCTGGTTTCTCTATCATAAGGGCCACCCGCCCTCGGAGCCCTGTGGTGCACCCTGCCGCCTCGCTACTCTGTGTGCCCAGCTCTCTGCCAGAGCTGACAGCCCTGCTCTGTGCCGCCACCTGGTGCCGAATGGGAGCCTCCCAGGTGGCCAGAACTTATGGCCAAGGCCCTTGTTCTGCTAGGGCCACAGGACCCATAGTCAGGAATGTTCATGTCTTACGAAAGGAGCAAAAACCTGAGTGCTGCTGTGATTCAACCTGGCAGGAACATGCCAGGGAAGAGCCCATCCTCAGGCCCCACATATACTGGGAAACAAGACCTTCTTTCCTAGAGCTGGTTTAGCTGGATTTGGGAGAGGGTTTGGCTGCTCCGCCTATGCCCAGGATCCAGACTGCTGTCCTTTCATGGCCATGAAGCTGAGGCCTCAATGCTGTGGGCAGCCATACAGTAGCTGTCATGCCAGGCCAGGAACCCTGCACTACTGCTGCTACTTGATCCTGCCAAGCTGTTAAAATAAAAATAAAAGAGACTTGGACTCCAGGCTCCTCTATGGCTGCTCCAATTTCTTCTTTCCAAGCAGTCAGGACAAGAGGAACTTGAGGACAAGATTGTAACAGAAATTGGTAAAGGGAGTAATGGTGTATACAGGCACAGGGAGGCACACAGCAGCGCAGACAGACTTTATTAGTGATATCAGTACAGCAGAGGTGCCCACAGAACAGGGGAGGGGGATCCATGCCTGGACCAGTCCCCTCCTTCTGCCCTGCTGGGCCTTATGAAGATGGGGCCTGGTCTGGACCAGTTCTTCCTGTTCCACCTCAAATACTGGGGATGGAGAGCCCAGGACTGGCCTTGCTTCCTGCTCCTCTTGTCTTAAATCCAGGGTTATCATTTCCTTGAAGGGATTAGATCTCTTCCCACCCCAGCCCTTAGGCAGGGAACCCAGGAGTACTGAAGAAGGGCAACTTTGGGGGACCTGAGACCTCAAGAATAGTATCCAGGGCTCCTTCCTGCCCCACACCCTTGAGTTCCCTGGGGCCCAACATGAGCAGGTGGAGGGAGGAGTGGGGCATCTTCATGGGGTCTGGGACCCAAGACGTTTGGGCTTAAGGGAGCCCCACAGCGACTGAACACCCCTGCGGACAGTCCAACCTACACGCCTGGCAACAGACTCTGCAGGGGGTGCTGGGAGGCAGGAGGTGGAGGTCTGGGAGCGGGCATCCAGACACTTCTGGTAGCGGAGCTGCAGAGGCAGAAGGTGCACTCACTTTCCAGTCTGCCCCGTGTAAGGTCCCATCACCACCCTGCTACCCCACTTGCTTACCATGCACGCAGCCTGCACAGCCTCTGAGAGGCTGGCAGCGTTAGGCTCGCACCAGAACATGTGGCAGCAGAAGGAGGCTGGGCCGGCAGCCATGATGAATGCAAAAGTGTGGACATCTCTGCCCACAGCCAGGAAGGAGAGGAAGCGTACCCGACACTCGCCTAGAACTGCCTCTGTCTGGAGGGAAGGAGCCCAGTTAAAAAGGAAAAATCCTCAGACTCAGGCTCTTCCCCTCACCCCTAGATTCCCACCATGGCAAGGCACAACCAGGCCTTCTTCTACCCCAGCTGTTTACCTACCTGCTGGTGCAAGATAGTTAGGGTAGCAGGGGCCACACTGACATGACTTGGGGTCCACTGCTCACGGGTACTGGAGGACAGGACTGACTCCAGAGCCCCATTAATCACATCTACCCCTAGAAGACAGGGACACAAACAATACCACTGAAGGAAGGGTGAAGACACCCCAGCTCTGCCCTTGACCTTCAGCCCTACTAAACTTGGGGCCCTTGCTCCATCCCCACTCCACCAACCCACCTATGGCCCTGAGGACAATGCTGTCCAGATGTCCCTTTCTTGGTGCTCTCTTCCTCAATTTGACCCTCTCCTGTTTTGGGATTTGTTTTTTTTTTTTTCTATCTTGAATCCTAGGCTTGTTTTCTTTACTGCCTCTGCCTCTTCCTCCAGCCTCCTAAACTGACTTGCCCCCGCTCCCCTCATTGCCCAAGGTTCTTGTGTGTGTGTGTGTGTGTGTGTGTGTGTGTGTGTGTGTTTCTAGGGATTGAACTCAAGGACACTCTACCATTAAGCTATATTCCCAGTCCTTTTTGAGTTTTGAGACAGAGTCTTATTAAGTTGCTCAGGCTGACCTGTAATTTAAGCAGGTTAAGTACCTGCTACCTGCCTCAGCCTCCCAAGTTGCTAGGATTAAATGTGTGTGCCACTGCATCCAGGCTCCTGCCCAAGTTCTGCCCTCCCCACCTGAACTCCCTTAGTGCTCACCCACGTTCAGATACTGTACTACTTCACAGAGGGATTTGACTTCTAAATCACCTAGGCCAGTACTCCCAAGAACCACAAATTTTAAATTTAAAAAAAATTTTTTTTGGGGGGTACTGGGGAGTCAAACCTACAACACTCCACCATTGAGATCCTTCAGCCCTTTTTTTATTTTTAATTTTGAGACAGGATTTTATCAAATTGCTGAGGCTGGTCTTGAACTTGTGATCCTCCTGCCTCAGCCCCATAAGTCATTGGGATTTTGGTTTATGTGCTCGTTTTTGTTTTGTTTTGTTTTGTTTTTTAAGATAACCATTCATGTAAAACTAATTAGAACAAAATTTTTTTTAAAAAAGATATCCATTTAAGGAGGGTTTACTCTATAATGGATTTTCTTATTTATAATCTTACATAGGGTATTTTTATTACCACCTTATAGATAAAGAAATTGAGACTTATAGACTAGGTAATATATACAAATCACATAAAGGAATAAGGATCTGCCTTTCCCCTACCTCTTTCTTCTTTATATTCTTAGTTTTCAGAACAAGAAGGACTTTCACAATCTTAGTTCTACTCAAAACCTTTTTTTTTTTTGTATGAAGGATTGACCCAGGGGTGCTTTACCACTGAGCCATAACCCCAGCCCTTTTTATTTTTTATATCTGAGACAGGATCTTGCTAAATTGCTTAGGGTCTTGCTAAGTTGCTGAAGCTGGCACTGAACTTGTGATCCTAATGCCTCAACCTCCTGAGTCTCTGGGATTCCAGGTATGTGCCACTGTGCCCAGATCAAAAATTTCTATAGTGTTCTCAATGAACAAGGTGTCTTGACTTTTTTTTTTTTTAGTTTGTTTTGGGGTTCAGGGGATTGAACTCAACCACTGAGCCACATACCCAGCCCTTTTTAGTATTTTATTTAGAGACAAGGTCTCACTGAGTTGCTTAGCGCCTCACTTTTGCTGAGGCTGGCTTTGAACTTGTGATCTTCCTGTCTCAGCCTCCCAAACTGCTGGGATTACAGGCATGCACCACCACATCCAGCAAGGTATCTGAATTTTAAATAAGTCGTTATTCCATTAAAACACAATGTTTTCCTTCACCTGAAACTACTTTTAAACACTGCCATTTATGCATCCCACTTTTGCTTGAATGCAGCAAGAACCAATCCAGGAGTACACAGCTCAGTAGAGGCATGGGTTCCAGTCCCAACTGTATTCGTGCACTGACTAAATGGTCAACACAAAAGGTACAAGCCTCTGTGGTTCATGCCCCTTTCAGTGCCTCTAAGTTCCTATTGGGAGCAGACCACATGGCTACTTTGTGAACAGAAGACAAAGCAAAGGATAAATGTCTTCCTTGAAAATCTCCTCCAATCTTGGCCTTGCATATCTTACCTCTGGCTGAATCAAGGCCAAACTCCTCTCCCAAGTGTGCAAGTCTTTCCAAAACAGCCTCATCTGAGCTGTCAAGCCTCATAATTTTACTGCTCTCTGAGCTTCAAATGACTTATATAGCATTTATTAACATCTAATCTTGGCAAATGGACTGCTAGGCAGATGGGGAATATAAAGCAAGAGAGGAGGATGCCCTCATGGAACACAGACTGTGATGAAGGGAGAAGCCTTTGTCTGGAGCACCCTTACCGCATTGGCTGTCTGAGAGTTCCAGATTCTCATCTTTCAGGTCCTGGCTCAGAAGCCTTCTCCAGAACAGGGAAAGGACAAGTCTAAGACAACTCTTACCACAATACCTTGTGACTGCTGGAAACTATTTTTTCACACTGGACTGTGGCCATTTCAAGAATAGAGAGCATATTTGGCTCCTCTCTAAGTCCCCAGTCCTAACACAGAACTTATCTGCTGAAGGAATTCAAGATGCATGACTAAGTCACCCTCAAGGCAGCATGGGCAAACGCACCTAACTGGTAAAACCAAGTAACACAGGAATCTACAGAAACGTAATCACACAAGTAGGAGTGGATAGACCAGGTCACACTGCAAGGGAGCCTCAAAAACAGGACAGAGGGGTATGATGTCTATGAATTTAGGTCAAAGCAATGGGAAAACTCTAAGTTCACAGAGGTGAGAGGGACATCAAAGTCAAACTGCTGAATATGTAGATAACTATGGGGGTGGAGCCTAGTCTCAGAGTCAGAACATATTGACATGGAGGTGGCAAAAGCAAGGAAATGGCTGGATGCCAGAGTGCACACCTGTAATCCCAGCTTCTTGGGAAGCTGAGGCAGGAAGATTGCAAGTTTAAGGTCAGCCTGGGCAACTTAGCAAGATCCTGTCTCAAAATAAAAAGTAAAAAGGGCTAGAGATATATCTCAGAGGTAGAACACTACTGGGTTCAAACCCCAGTGACAAAAACAAACAAACAAATAAATAAATTTAAAAAGCAATGAATGTGGTATAGAAAAAGGGTGTCAGATTTGGTAACAACTCAGGACTAAAACCTACACCCTCACCATCAGACTCATACTCCTAATCTCTCTTATCTAGCTATACTTGTTTTGTAGATTTCTAAAATACTATATACTTTACTTATTTTATTGTCCATCTTCCTTTGCTATAGAATGTAAGCTACTTGAAGACATGAATTTTTTTTAGTTTTGTTCATTAATGTATGCCCAGACCTGGAATAGTACCTGATGTAAATCAGGTACTCAATAATCATTTGCTAAATAAATGAATCATTAATGAATGAACACTGCAGCTTCTGGAGAAGCAATGTTAAAAGGGAGGTTAAAAGGGGAATATAAATAGTCTGACCTGGTAGTGCATGCTTGTAATCCCAGCCACTTGGGAGGCTGAGACAGGAGGATCACAAGTTCAAAGCCAGTCACAGCAATTTAGTGAGGCTCTAGGCAACTTAATGAAACTCAGTCTCAAAATGAAACATAAAAAGGGCTGGGGATGTGGTTCAGTGGTTAAGTAGCCTTGGGTTCAATCTCTGGTACCAGGGGGCGGAAAAGGGAGTATAGACAAAGCAGGAAGTGAGCTTAGAAACCACCTTAACCAGAACAGACCTACAGAGCTGTGTAAGGTGGTAGATTGAAGCGTTAAAAAAAAAAAAAAAAAAAAAAAACAGACAAGGGAGTGAGGCTAATAGCTTTAATTAGAGGAGCCAAAAAGGGGTTAGAAGTTGAGGGTGAGGAGGAGAGAACACATGCAAAGGTTTACACAAAGCCTCCTGTTCCTTGAGCATGCTGTGCTCACCTCTAGATCCAAGATTTTGTCAGTGAATCCAACTGGGATACCTACTCCTTTACAAATCCAAGCTTTCCTTCAAAACCTCAGTCCCCAGCTTTTCAAACAAGGGTTCTCTCTTTCCAAGTAAGGTTTTGGTCATTAAAATCAGCATGGTTTGAAGCAAAGAGAAGAGATTTAAAGATGGCCAGGGTTTGAGTTCTAGGACTACCATTTTTGGCTCTGTAGGTAATTTGAGGCAAATCTTGTTCATTTATCCTTTATTTGTTTATTCATTTACCACATATGTTTATTTCTTCCTTGGTGTCATTTGACACATAATACCTGACACAGACACTCTGGGAAGTGGTCCTTATTTTTCCCTCTTTCCTACTCTTACTATCCTTGGAAGTGTAATCTTCTTCCACCCATTCATTAAATGTTGGAAGGCCCCAAGGGTAGGCCCACACACTTCTCTTTAGCTCTATCATCTAGCTACAGCTACTGCAAGGGCATCCTAACTGAGCTACCTACACTCATCTCTAATTTCTTAACATCTTTCTTCATGGTACAGCCAAAGTGAGCTTTACAAAATACAAATCTACTTATGTCCAGTACCCTCCTGAAATTTTTTCAATGGTGTTATGGTTTGGAAAGTGTCCCTCAAAGGTCCATGTGTTAAAGGCTGATCCTCAGCCTATGGCACTATTGGGAGGTTGTGGTACCTTTAAGAAGCAGGGCTGTGGGCTGGGGCTGGGGCTGGGGCTGGGGCTCAGTGGCAGAGCTCCTGTAGAACCCATGTATGAAACAATGGGTTCAATCCTCAGCACCACATAAAAATAAACAAATAAAATAAAGGCATCTACAACTATAAAAAAAAAATTAAAAAAAAAAAGAAAAGAAAAGAAGCAGGACTAGTATGAGGTCTGCAGGTTGGGGACATGCCCTTGCCCTTTAAGAGGACTATAGGACCTTGGCTTTTTTCTTTCTCTTTGCTTCCTGACCATGAAGTGAATCTTCCACATGATCCTGCATGATATGTTGTTTACTACAAGCCTAAAAGTAATGGAGCCAACTGATCATAGGCTAGAACCTCTGAAAATGAACCAAAATAGGTCTTTCCCCTTTATAAATTGATATCCCATGTTTTTGTTATAGCAATGGAAACTAACAAAAATGGCTCCTTGCTGCCTCCTAGCCTGAAGATGAAATCATTCACCTAGTCTCTGAGGTTCCTCACGGCCTGACCACTGCCCAACCCTCAACCTGGCCTTGCTCTGCTAGCCTTCTCTCAGTGCTTTCCAAGTACCAAAGTGCCTCCCACTCTGGACCCTCACACACACTACTCATTCTTCCTGGAATGCCTTTCCCTACCCTGACCCTACCTCCATCTCATTTTCCTACATTGTTTTCTATTTATGTTATTTACTTCAGTTCAAATGTCACTTTCACAGGGAAATTTCTTCTGATTCCCCAGAATAGATGAAATTCCTGTTACATCTTGCTATTTTCTTTCCAAGAATAAATAAATTTATTATTACCTTTTGCATTTATGTGATTATTTGGTTCCTTATATTTCTACTGTAACCTCCTGCAAACTCCACGAAGGCAAGACTATATCCATTGTTCTCCCAGTGCCTAATACAGGGCCTAGCACATGGTAAACTTCAAAGGTATCTGTTAAGTGAATAAACCTACTACCTGTACCCCAAGCCCACCAAAGCTTTTGCACAGAATGCAAGAGTTGGATATTCTTCTGTGCCTGGCTCAGCACCAGTCAATGACAGGTACCATTAAAACATAGTCTCCTCAGTTTCTTATCTAGAAACAGGTGTGAATTATAATCCCAACTTCATAGTATTATCAGAAATTAAATGTCATAATATGAGAAAGTACTAGAAGACAGGGTGTTGGTGCACACCTATAATTCCAGTGACTTGGGAGGCTGAGGCGAAGGATTGCCAATTTCAAGGCCAGCCTCAGCAACTTAGTGAGGCCCTAAGCAACTTAGCAAGACCTTGTCTCAAAATTAAAAAAAAAAAAGGTTCAATCCCCTATACTAACAACAACTAAAAAGGAAGTACTTGACAACAGTAAAGCATGGGCCAATGGTGCTTATTGCTTCTTTCTCTGGATGCTCATGGCCCACAGCTGGTGCTATAATACCAAACCCATCTTCAAACTGCTACCTGGTATCTTCAGTCACCTACTAACTGTACCCCAAACCCACAAAAACTTTTGCACAGAATGTAGGAGTGGGATATCCTTCTGTGCCTGGCTCAGCATCAGTCACATGACAGGTGCTCAGTGAAGGCATGCTGACTATTGCTATAAGTAAGTCACAGGGTACAGCCAAGACAGAGATATGGGGAGATGGGATGAATTCTGAAGGGCAAGGAGACACCAAGTGTGAGGAAAGTCCACTAGAAGAAGCACTGGAAGGTAAAGGGCAGGGGCAGAGCTCTGGGATCAGGTTGATGGTCCCTAGGTAGAAAGGACACACATACCAACAGGTTTAGCAACAGGTACATTCCCCAGGTAATAGACTTGGAACTTCTGTACCAATTCATTCTTAGGTGCTGGGAATTCCACTGTGGAAAGAAGAGGAGAGTCAATTGTGATGGTAGACCTTTCTTAGACCTCATCTCCAACAACCAGGGCATAACCTGGACATTTGCCAAGCCAAGGCCCCATCTCTATTTCTTCTCCCTGTTTCCCTTTAACCAAAATCCCTTCACTATTTGATCCAAAGTACTCAATCTCTTCTTTGGTTGCCCCACCTTTGCCAACAAAGTTGAGCTGGACCTGGTGGGATTGTGACACTGACCTTGGAAAGGGACATCCACAAGTTTAGAGTGGTCCAGAGATAGTCCATTTACCAAGCAGCGAGCATTGCGCCGTTCGGCCATGATCTGAGGAAGGAAGGAATGGACAGGAGGAGAGGGGGGGTGTCTATTAGAGCTTCATGGCCATGAAACCCCCCATCCCCTCAGTGACTCCACCCACACCCTTGTAGAGCAAAGGTGGCAGCTGGTCCAGGGAGTGGAGGGGGCCGTGCCTTAGAGCAGATCTCATGCAGGCTGGTGGCGATGTTCTTGGCAGGTGCCTCACAGCGAAACACGTGGCACTTGAGCATCTGGGTCAGCTTATCGCGAGCTACGTAGGCAAAGTCCCTGTTGGGGGAGGGGCACCTCAGTGTCTCCCAGAGCCATCAAGTGCTGAGCCTGGCCACCAACCCACCCACATCCTCCCTGCCCATCACAGTTCCAAAATAGTTTCTGCCCTTGGACGGTGCCCTGTAGGTGCTGCCTTCTGGAGGGAGGGTAGACAGGCAAGCATGCTGAGGAAGAGCATAATGGTCAAGCACAGCAGGGAAGGAAGGGGCAGGACAGAACAGGGGAGCTAGGGTGCTTCAAGGTGTCTGATCCAGGTGAAGGAGGTGGGGATGGTCATGGCAGATAGGTATAGTACCTCTCCCTGGGTCCGGCAGCACAAGAGAGGCAAAGAACAGAGTTAGGGAGGAGGACTTGGACTGATAGATGAACCCCACCCTCAAATCCCAGGCCCTGCTCCCACCTTCCACTGTCCCGCCCAACGCCCCACACGCGAATGCTGATGATGGGCTGGGCGTGCAGTAGTGCCTGGCTCTGGGGTTCCACCAGCTTTAGTGTCTCGTCCTCCAGCTGCAACAGCAGATCCTTTCCCTGCAGGCCCAGAAAGCAGACATTCATCATTAGTATCCCAGCTGGGAAGACAGCTGATTTCTGCCACTTCCAGCTCAGGAGACATCAGCCACAGCTGGGGGGTTTTTGCTTTGGTGTCAGTCCACCCACCTGCGGGCCTCTCTCTGGTAGAGGTCACATGTCCTCTCTCCCATAACTTCTTTTATCATCCCCAGGGCTGTTAAGCAACCATTTCCCACTGTCCCAGGCTGAGGTCACTCATCCATCCCACAGGAGAAATCCTTGGGGTGGCCCAACACCCCTCCCCCGATTCCCCCTTGTGCAGGTAAGCTCTCCCATCTCCCACAATTCCCCCACACTCCCGCAGCACCACCAACTCCCTGGCTCAGGCCCTCACCTCCCCCCAGCCCCCAGACATGGGGTCATGCAGATTATTTTTGTGGTAGGAGAGCTGACGGATGCAATTGTTGACTGCCACGCTGCTGCGTCCTGGAGCCAGCTCCTCCTCAGTCATCTCCACCCAGCCTAGGGAACGCACGGCGAAACACTGCCAGACACAGAGGGGATTGGGGTAGAAAGTCTGAGCTGAAACTGGAGATGCCCTGGGCACAGGACACAGAATTTCCTGTCAGGTGGGAGGGCATTCTGAACTAAGACTGAGAAGCCCCTAACATAGGCTATAGTCAAGGAGAGCAAGAGCTCAGGGGAGACCCCTGCTGGTACAAGGAAGCATCTAAGACTAGCCTGGAAGGGTCTGTGGCAGATCACTGACTGGTTGGATTAAAACTGAAGAGGCTCTGCTAAAGACTAAAAGAACTCCTAACTTATGACCTGGAAGCTTCACGAAGACTAAAGATACCCTCACAGCACAGCATGAAGGGATAACCTGCATACCACACAAGGGGTTCCAGTCTGAAGAAAGCGTACTAGTCTGGAACAAACCTTGATTCCTGGGTTGGCATTCCGTGGAGGCAGCTTCTCCTCCTCTTGGGGCAATGGCTCTGGGCTGGAGACAAATGGTAACACTTGACATGGTGCCCCCTATGTGGAGTCATCCCAAAGCCCTTTCCAAAGAGACCAACGCATTGCTAGCCCACTATGTCTAGTGATTCACCTGAGGCTCTGAGCTGGGAAGGGTAATGTCCCCTCCTCAGGGTCCTTCAATCCCAGTTCCATTGGGGCCTCCTCACTGGGTTCATCCTTGGGAAAGAGATTGAGGAATCAGAACCAAAATGATGTACCTTCTTCAGCTATCTCTATAGTGAAGCAGGTCCCCTCACCTACCTTCCAAAACTCTCCATCCTCAAAGCCTTCTCCATGGGCAAAGCCTGTCCAGGTGAGCTGGGAGAGAGGATGGGAGAAGTGAGTGGTTTTTTCATCCTGTTCTAGCAGCACACACCCTCTCCATCCCTGGTCAAGAAACAATAGGCCATTGAGCCTTACCTGGGACTCCTCTTGGGGACTATTCCCTTGTGAGGGGGAGGCCTGTCCAGGGGGTTCCCACTGGGTGGTCCCTGTTGGGATGTGCCAATAGTAGGTCCCTGAGGTGTCCTGGACCCTCATCCATCCAGCCGGCAGGTCGGAATCCGTCTCGAAGGCGTTGGGGTTCCAGAAGGAATCTGCCAGGTGGGAGGCTTGGTAAGGGTCAGTCCATCCAAAAAATAGATAGCAGATCCTATGCTCAGTCCCCTCCCTGAGATCCCATGTTTGAGAAGAAGGGGTGGGGGAAGGGCTATAGCACAACATGGTTCCTGCTTCCTTCTAGAGCCTACAGTATTGATTCACCTCATGGGAGGCCACCAGCAGGCAACATGGCTCAGGTCTCCTCCTGAGCTTTGCTACTGCCTAATGTGGACACATGGAGAGAAGGAAGAAAGCAGGGAAGAAAGAAGGATGGGAATGAGAGAGAGGCTGGGTGACCCAAATTAACCTCTTATACATCATACATATCCATATCTTGGGGTACACAAAGGTGCACACACCTACTAGCTCCTGCACACATACATGTGTACACACACATATGTTATATACAAGCCCTAGCACATATCTATAAAGCCACAAACACAAGGTTATGCCAAATATAGAAAATACCAGCACAGACAGCAGGTATCACATACAGGTGCATATGTGTGTGCAGGGGCAAATTCACACACCAACTCCATATACTTGCAAAGTGATATATATAAATATAGCAATAGCTATATATACTAGCCCCTGACACAGGTGTGCAGATTCCACATCTCCATAACTGTACACATTTGTGGATACCACACATATAGGTGGATGCCCATTCAGACATAACACATGTCAGCCACATCACACTCATACCATGACCCCTGCCACATGTAGATGCAGGCAAATATGTCATGTACATACATACATACCATGCATCTGTGACATACATTCCTCCTTCACCAGCAGAGCTAACCACTCCCTCCATGGTACCCAGCTCATGCATCTTCCACTTCTGCTCTCTGTGCCAGCCCCACCCCTCATTATGCCCAGTCCTGTGCTACCCCCTCACCTGGGCTGCTGTCCTGAAGGATGATGGCCAGGAAGAAGTCCTGGGAGAACATGGTGCTCATTCCTGGCCCCTCCTGCTTTCACCCTCCCTCCTCACAGCCCCTCCAGCCCTGCCAGCTGGGCTCACAGCCTGGTGCTGGGCTGCAGAGAAAAGCTCATCCCACCCCCTTCTCACCAGGGCAGAACGTCTGCCAGGCAAGATCCTCCCCCGCCTGGAGCTCACCAGGGAGGGGCCAAGACCACCATACTAGAGAATCTCTTTGGGGTGAGGATGGGAGTAGGAAGTGGGGGTCTCATGAGACCCTAGCCTTTCCTGCTCATACCTGTTCCTCCTGACCCTGGCCACTCTCCCCCAATCCAGAATCTCCATCCTACCCTTCAGCAGTAACTTCAATGCCACAATCAAGCCTAATCTTAGGAACACCAGGAGGCTCAGCCACTAGGGAATACCCCAGCCACCTAGATCCCTGCAGAGCCTAAAGCTCTCAGCATAAATAGGGTGTGGCTTCAAGGCCCTCAGGGATCCTTCCCCTGCCTAGAACCTGCCCAGCAATTTGAACCCAAGGGTGGTCCTTGAGGGCCTGGACCCTAGCAAGCTTCAGGCAGAGCTTGGGGCTTCCCAGCACCACCCCCCCTCACCTTCCAGGGCCCAGCTAGGCTGCAGCGTCTCCTCGGTAACGGCAGCACAGGACCGGCTGGGAGCGCCCAGACTGCTGACGTGCTTCCCGTTACCAGGGAAACCAGGAATCCTGACTGGTCCAAGAGGCAGCACTGAGGGACAGGCAGTCTCAAGACCCAGGATGCTGGGCAACAAGGCACAGAGGGGCTGGTAGTGGGTGTGGTTACACCAAAGTGTTTGCACACCTGACATGAGGTGTGCAAGGTGCTTCACAATCCTCAGCTTACGAATGAGATACGCCCACAGATGCCCAATGAGGAGGGGCTCTTCTTGCCCATCTATCTGCCTTCTAGGCAGTGATCACTATCTCTCCAATCCCCACATCAGGCTCTGGCACTCAGCTGAGACTCATCAAATGCAAGTTCTTCCCCAGAGACCCTCCATTGCACTCAAGGATTCCCTGCTAAAACCTTCCAGGGACACCAGCAACTAGGAGCCCCTGCCCTCCACAGTGCTAGGGCAGCCCTCTTTATGGAGGATTAGACACTTCTGGAATCTGGGTTCAGTTCACCATCTCATGAGTCACACACATCAATCCATCTGCCTTCCCTGTCAGCCTGTACCTTCCTGCTTCAAAGAGCTTCATCCTTCCGATCTGTCCTGGAGGGCAGCTTCTCCCCCCTTGACCATCTGGGAGGCCCTTCTGGAGCTTGGCACATCTCTCTCCAAGCACAACCCACCAGGGCCTTTGCTTCCACACACATGCATTAATTCCAGAATGTACACTTTCCTGCATCAATTCATGCAGACATCCACACATGAATGCAAATATTCATGTTTCATTCCTTCCTTTCTTCCTTCGTTCATTCATAAACACCTTAATAGCTAAGTCAGGTATACTCATGTGCTCAGGATTCAGTGATTTACTTAATCACTTAATTTACTTAATTAATTTAATTAAGTAAATCACTCTCCATCCCAAATCACTATCACAGTCCAGACTACTAGCATTATTTTTGTTGTTGTTGTTTTTAACCTGGATTACTGCAACATCCTCATAACTGGTTTCCATTTTCCTATCTAGTTTCCACCAATCTGCCCAAGCCCAGCCTACCTCCTCTCAATCATCTACTCCTCCATCAGATATCAGTGTAAAAGTCACTTCTTGAAAATGACCCACTCCCGTGTCCCCCACCACCACGACACAGGCAGGTAAAGATTCCTCCTACACTTCCCCAACATTCCAGCTGATCATACATATTGTAGCTACTTCTGTCTCTCCACTGGACTGTGAGTGCCAAGAGGGTAAGAACACATTTCCTGTGTAGTACACATTCCCAGCATTTAGGACAAGTACAGAACCTGGTATGAACCCAACATAGGTAGTAAAGTTCATTCATTCATTTATCATCCATTCATTTAATTCACTCATTCATGTATTTAGGCATCCCATCAACAACTTTGTGAAGATCTTAGTATGCAAAGGAGAAAATTATTTGTGCTCCATCCTATTCCCATTCCTACAAGAACTCAAACCTTTGTGGCCTTCATGGTCACAGCAACAATCACAAGAATAAGCAGTGACCCAACCCCTTGCTGGGACTGTCCCCACACTTCTACCTTCAATACCCACAATCTCCACCAGTGCATGATCCTTAAAACTCCTCTTGCCACTCCCACCTCCTTACTGAGATTTATGCTCATACCTGCATACCATTCCCAGTTCTTGAGCACTTCTACCCCACAACTCCCACAGGCTGATAAGTGCAGCTGCTAGTGATCACCTAGAAGCCACTAAGCCTCTATTTGGCCAAGACTCATACTCCCTAGGTTTGCTAATTAGTCACCTGTGACCTGCAGATTGACACAAGTCTCAGATTCTGTGTGGCCTACACAGTGCTTTTGGGGGAAAAAAAAAAACCAGAATTAGTTGCTAATGTTTAGAAATTGGGATATTTTATATCAATATCTAATTTTCAGTTTCTCTTGAATTGACTCCTTTGAGACTACATTTTACCCGCAATCCTAAAAATAATCAGCTGGAGTGAAACAAAGGCTGTCCCTTCTTAAGGGTTGTAGGTACCAGGCTCAGTGGTACATGCCTCTAATCCCAGATACTCAGGAGGCTGAAGCTGAATGATCACAAATTGGAGGTCAGCCTGGGCAACTCTGCAAGACCCTGTCTCAAAATATAAAATAAAAAGGGCTGGGAATGTAGCTCAGTGGTAGAGTACCCCTGGGTTCAATTCCAAGTGCTGGAAAAAAAAAGGGGAGTGGAACAGGGTGGTGTGGGGTAGAATTGATGACCATCAAAAGCCACTAACTTCATAAAAAGAGATGCTTTTGGTATACTCGATGCCACCTATAAAGTGTTCTTACAAAAACAAAACAAAACTCCTCAAATCTGAATCTGATCCAAGTTCTGAAACTTTCTACTAATTTATATGAAATCTAGGGGAAAAGGAAAATGCTAAACACCACCACAGGGAATGAGTCTGAAAAGTCCAAAAACCCCACATCAGATAACAGTTTCTCCAGTTAAAAAAAAAAAAAAAAAAAAAAACCTGAAAAATAAGGAGAGAAATAGTGGGAACTTGTAGATTAAAAGAAACTTTAAGAGACATCAACCACAGACCTATTTGGATACTGATTTCACAGTCTGAAGTTCCTAAAAAGCAGGGTCATTTATTAGACAACAGGGAGAATGCCGACATTGACTGAGAATTTGATGATAATAAGGAATTGCTCAAATGTTGTAGATATGATATTGGAATTGTAGTATTTTTAAAGAGTTTTTTTTTTCTTGCAGAAATGCATATGCAAACATTTACAGATGAAACTGTTTGTTCAAAATAACAGGCTGGGACCCAGAAGTGGGTGGGGGCATATATGTAGCAAGATTAACTATGTATTAGTAATTATTGAAACTGGGTCAAGGGTAAACCAGGCTCATTATTCTATTACCTCTGTTTTTTTGTATATACTTCAAAATATCCATACTAAATTTTTCGAAAGGGAACGATGTGCTCTAAGTTCATCTGAATTGCATGTTTCCTGCAAAGGACCCACAGTTTGGGGTCTGGGTATGAAGTCCACTGCCTGGTGAAAATGGGAGTCTTTCCCTTTTTTTTTTTTTTTTTTGCACTGGGATCAAACCTGGGGCCTCATGCATACTAGGCAAGCATTCTATCATTGAGCTGCATTCCCAGCCTCCCAATTTTTCTAATTTTTTTTTTACAGTACTAGGGATTAAACTCAGGGGTACTCTACCACTAACATTCCCAACACTCCACCACTTTTTTGGGGAGTGGGATACTAGAGATTGAAACCAAGGGTGCTTTGCCACTGAGTTACATCCGCAATCTTTGTTTTGTTTTTTTTTTTAATTTTGAGATAGCAATTGCTAAATTGCTGAAGTTGACCTCAAACTTGCAATCCTCCTGCCTTAGCTTCCAGAGTTGCTGAAATTACAGACATGTGCCACCATGCCCAGCCCCCCTAACCTTTACTCCCATTCACAGAATTTCTAGGTTGTAGATATAGTCTGTGATCTTCTCTGTTTCTCAGCTCTGTCCATATCTCTGTGAAATATTAGCAAATGTCAACTAATTTAAGTGTGATACACTTAATGATCAATCTTATAATACTAATATCTATCCCCCACCACACACACAAAAAAATAACATAAGTTAATTCTTCTTTTTTTCCCTAACTTTTGGTCAATATCCTATTTCTGGCAAACTATCATTGCAATGGCCATGGTGCTTTGCACAAGGCATATGGATCATAAACACAAAATACTGCCAGTTTTTCCAAAGAGACTTCTGTGTGGAGATACTGATTGCTCCCTCCAGACCTAGCCTGCTAAAGCAGCAGGCTGCCAAGCATACCATAGTGCCTCCTGCTGTATGCATTGGTGGCAGAGTAACACAGGACCGAGAGATCAGGCCTAAATTCAGACCAGGTTTAGATCTCAGTTCTGTGATCTTCTAAAAACTACTAAACATTTCCAGGCATCTTTTTCATCACAATATGGGCATAAATACAATATCTACATCACAACATTACTGTGACTATTAAATATGATAATGCTGAGCAGAGGGCCAGTAAGTGCCCAATACCTAGTAAGTGTCCAATAAACTGACTAATCCATATATTAACCATGATGGCATGCATAACAAATAGATCCATCCATCATGGCACACAGGATCAATAGAGGTATCAAACTGTCCACACACTCTCTGGATGAGATAATTTGGGCAAGGACTACTGAGGACCAAGGACATGGATTCCGCAACTCACATCTGGGCTGGCCCTGCCCTCTGTGTGAAGCCTGATCTCTGACCCCATGCCCTCCCACATTCCCATGTCAAATTCTACAAGGTACCTGTGTCTTCTGGGGAGCCATAGGAGGGGCTTCCCTGGGATAAGGTAGCCCAGCTTGAGTCCTCATCACTGGCTGCACTGTTCCGCATACCAAATAGAAGGCTAGCACTCTTGCTGTGTTCCCGGGGGCCATCTGTAAGGATCTGAGGCCCAGGGGGGCCCACACTCTCCAGAGGTTCAGGCAGCCCTGGGGGAGAAGACAAGTCCTCTTCCTCGTCCTCATCCTCATCTTCGTCATCCTCCTCGGCCTCCCCTGCTGCCTTCTCCTCTCCTTCATCTGGACCTTGCTCTTGGGTGCTGATGATAAGGCCAGGTCCTCGAAGCCCTCGGTTGGCTGCATTGTGGGCTGAGAGCTCCAGCTCAGAGTATAGATGCATCAGACCTTTGGGGCCTAATGGTGCCATTTCAGGCTCTTGGTTGGCTTCTTCTGCCAGGGTCAAGGTCACATTGCGGTTCTGGTCACGGTGGGCTGTGGCAGCCCGCCGGAGCTGGTTCTGGCCCTCCTTTAGCCATTTAGCATTGGCAGGGCCTGGCTCAGGCCCACCACCCTCCCCCATGGCGCTGCGCAGGTCCTTGGGTCCCACAGCTGTGGCCTGCAGCTTGGCGTTGAGCAGCTGGTTGTGAGCAGCGTGCAAGGGCAGGGGCAGGCTCAGTGCAGGGCCTCCGTGGCTATTGGCATTAATGGCCGACTGGCTCAATGATGATGGAACAGACATGGCCTTGGCAGATCCTGTGGAGTGGGAAAGGGAGACCATGTTGAGCAGCTGGGCAGAACAGCAACATCCTTGTTTCTGTCTCAGACCTGTGCCTTGCCTCTCATCTCTCCACACTCAGTAGACCAGCACATACTGCTCTGTGTCCCATGAAAATAAGTGGGCTCAACTTCAGTCCCCGCTCCATCACCACCATCACAGGCCAGGACCAGCTGTGCTGCCCACTGTATCCTCAAACTCCTCAGCCCTGGTCATCTGAGACAGCACAGTCAGTGCCTGCTCTGCCCTCACCGCCACCAGCAGAGCCTCCACACAATGGCTCTCTGTGCATCTCCACCCCCAGCTCATCCAACCCGAGCTTACTGTGCCAGGGACACAGCTGGCATGGGACTGGCTCGTGTGTTTTGGACACTGGACACTTAGTGTCCCTTTCTTCCTGCCACACTGCTATCCTAAGCCCCATCAATGTGAGCTCCCCAGTATGTTTGAATCATTATAAATCTCTGAGCTCAACCAGCTTCCAAGCCCTCCCTATACTAGGGCCTGTGTGGCAAGGGTGAGTAAGTGTACAGCCAACCTCCAGAGCATGGCAGAGGAAGGATGGTCACAGAGAAAGGGACTTGAGTTCCAATTCATGGTTCCTTTAGTCAAATAAAGTTATATTTTGGTGATTGTTTCTATGAAATCTTACTTTGGGCACCATTTCCCCCTACAGCTATTAAAATGACCCATGCCTGGGTCACCATAGCAGCCTTTGACCTAAACCCTCCAGCCCTTCAGGTCTTTGCCCAGATGTTACATCCTCAGTGAGCCCTTCTGTGCAGACTACCACTCCCCTCCTCAGCAATCCCACATTTTTCCCACGCTAATTTAGTATTTATTTTATTTAATGATAAATAATTTTGACCCTAGTTTAAATTCCATGGTGGTGAGGATTTTTTTCTTGCTCCTACCCACACAAATACAGTATGCTTAGTGCCTGAACAGTCCTGGCACAGAGTAGGAAGTCAACAAAAATGTGCTGAATGAATGTATGAGTCTGGCCTCACATCTCCTCCAGGCCCCATTTTAGCATCTCTTCTGCCAGTGTCAGAAAAAATTTGGGTTATGTCTCTGTCTTGGAAATGGTTGATGATGCCTCCACCTACCTCCATGTAAGTAGCACATACTGCTCTGTGTCCCATGAGAATAAGTGGGCTCAACTTCTGCCTGTTAGGTAAGAGGATCTTCTATTCTACAAAAACAGCCCACCCTACCCACCTATTCAGATGCCCTCCTCACCAGCCCTTCACAGACCACATCCCCACCATGGAACCCTCTCATTCTCCCTGACCTTCCACTGCTCTGTTATTCTCTTTCTCTGATCCCCACTATAAAATGTGCCCTCCCAGGACCCTCACTGTTCCCTCCATCTCCCAATTCACTTCTCCCCACCAACCACAACCCAATTATTCCCCATCCTAAGCCCTCACCACAATCCTGACTTCAGCCACCCCTACCTATTACTCTTCTTCCCCAACAACCTCAGAGTTCTCTCCTCCTAACTGACTGGCCCTTTCCCCAACACAGTTTCCCCTCACTGACCACCCCAACACACACCACAGTTCTTTGTTTCTGTTTTGTTCTCAATTTCTTATCTCAGTTCCCTAACTCCCTGCTCCTCCACTAAGGAGCTCTTCCCTACTCCCCATTGCCCCAATACTTTTTACCTCCTGTGCTTAGAACAGGTGTTTTACTGCCTGAGCCAGGCTCCCCCATCTCTTTAGGTCTGGTGCATGGTCCTGAGGCAGGAGCCACAGCTTCCCTTTCCATGGTTTCTAGCTCCTCAAAGCCTAGTGGTGATGCTATGCATACATAATAGAATAAATGGAAAATGGTTTCTGTCAATGTGTCTGCCTCACGTGTAATTGTTAATCTGCTTGATGTGGCTCCACCTGGGCAATGAGGAAACTCATGGTCATTGGAATAAAGGAAGAAAAAAAAATAGCTCTGCCTCCACCCAGAACCACAGTAATCTTCCAAAAATGGAAACCAGATTGTGTCACTCTCTGGTTTAAAAAATTAAAGGGCTCACCACTGCCTTTAGGATAATGTCTGAACTTATTATCAGGATACCAGAGAGTCCCTGTGAGCCAACCCCCAGGACCTATCAGATCTCCTCCTCCTTCCTGCCTCCTACATTCCTTATACTCCAAGGCAGATTCTGGAATGTGTCACACGTATGGAACAAAGCCCTGGATCTTTGTTTACATCGTTCTCTCAGCCTGGAATCCTGTCTCCCCTTGTGAGAACCTCTACTTGTATTTCAAAACTTGGCTCATTTCAAAACAGCTCCTAACCAATCTTTCCTGTACTCTCCCCACCCTCCAGTGATTATTCCCTCTTGTGTCCCATAACATCCAGTACCACATGGTATAAAACTATCTGAGACCATGTCTTATTCAATTTTGCATTCTGATTACCAAGGAGAGTGCTGTAGATCTACAAGAGTGAGCTGTCATGTGGAAGGAAAGGAAGGATGGAGGACACAGACACTGGGTTGGGAGGAATTAGGAACCGGGAAGCTTGAAACTGGCTGGGAATCAACACCAAGAAAGCCTGTGTGGTCCCACAGAGTAGACACGGGCAAGGCAGTTTTAGGGAGGGTACTACAAAATGATGAAGGGACCATTGAGAGGAGGCTCAGATGGCATAGGAGTCCTGGACAAATGAGGCTAAGTCCAGAAAAAGGGAGGCAGGGGAAAATTCACTTAAACCAACATTCTGTCTTAAGACTGTTTGAAGATGGCATCTCCATAAGTTTTAGGAGGTGGAAGACCCCATGACTCTGACAGTCAGAGGGATGACAAGCCCTTCTCTGAAGCAATGGTGAACGGAGTCAGGTTCTCAGTGGTCAGGCTAGGACCAACTTCTTTAGCATGAGAACTGTGCTCAGAGAAGGGCTCATGCCCTTTGAAGCTAGGAAAGTGAAAAGCCAGGTTGACTTCAGGGCAGCCCTACCAATCTGGTCACTAGGGCAGAAAGTACTGCGAATGGAATGAGGAAGATCTGCTGTAAATGCTAAAGCCTGGACATCATCCCAGGTGGTGTGGCCATCATCATCTCACTTTTTGAGGTCAAAAAGATGACCAATTAGCCAGGCAGGGTGACTCACACTTGTAATCCCAGTAACTTGGGAGTCTGAGGCAGGAGGATTGCAAATTTGAAGGCAGCTTTAGCAATTTAAGATACTCAACAATTTAGTGAGACCTGTTTCTGAAAAAGAAAAAATAAAAAGAGACCAACTGATCGACTTCTTCAAGAAGGAGCACAGCTCAACCTTTTCTCTCCCACTTTGAGACCTGGAGTCTCTCAAGGTATGGAAAGAGCAAACAGGTTCTAGCTCAAGGCAAGAAGATGGACTGGAACTAAAGGAGTGGTCACTAAGCCTAGAAAAGCTACTATGAGACCATAGGAGTAGAAGCTGAGTCTTGTTCTGTCAGGGGTCTTCTACCCTGACAGCTTACTAGATTCCCTGCACAGAGCTAGGCATAGGGAAGGGTGATGAATAATAAAGAAATAGTTCCCTCCCTGGAGGAGCTCACAGTCTAGGGGAAAAGAGTCACTGAGCAACTCCTTATAATGCAGTGAAATGCCAATATCTGAAATAGCATCTGGCACCTATGTGCACTTCCTATTTATCGAACAAATGATTGAGTGTTGTGACAGGGGAAGAAAAAAGCCACCAAGCCTGGGACTTACTCTAGCCCAGCATCAGTGAAAGTCTGTCTGAGCCTAGAGCACAACTTTCCTTGGACCACCCCTACCAACTCCCACTCCTCTCAAAGATGAACTGCTCTTCTAATTACAGAGGAAAGGGAAACCATTAGTTGGGGAACACCCTCAAACATACATCACCAACTTCAGTCCCTATCCTTGTTAATCCAGCTTCCTTTCCTAGAAAGACTCAGTAACAGCTCCTACAAAGGTCAACATGACCCCATGTCATTTAATCCAATGGACACTTGGTCATCTTGGTTGTACTCTCAGTAGCATTTGACCCCATGAACTCCTCATCTAACTTTCATTCATGGCTCCCACACTCTACATTTCCCAGTTTTCTTCCTACCCTTCTGGTTACTGTTTGTTGGCTTCTTAGACTCCTTTGCTGTCTCATCTTCTTCTACCAGCCATTACAGGCCGAATTCCTCAAAGCTCGTTCTTCTGCCCTTTTCTCTTTCTTATCCCATCTTTAATTCAGGAATTCATTCATGCCCACAGTTTCAGTTGCTTTCTAAATACTGAGGACTTCCAAATTTACATCTCCATATCAGACTCTTCATCTGAGCTTCAGACATGTACATTAAGTTTCTACTCAATAACTCCATTTGAATATTTCAAAGACTGCTCAAACTAATATTCCCACTTGCATTTCTCCCCTAACTGGTCCTCTTTCAGGATCTGGGATTGTGGAATGATATGACCAGCCATCCTGTTGTGCAGATCAGAAATAGGGGTACCATCTGAGATACAATCTTCTCTCTCATTCCCAATATTCAATCTACACCCAAGTACTGGTCATTTTCTTTTGAGAAAAATGTCTGGACTTCATCTACTCTATACCTCACTACCATCAAAAAATTAAATCAAGGTCAAGGACTTTAAGGTCAAAAATTCTTAGCATGGTTTAAATAGTCCTGTTTAGCCTGACCCTTACCTTGTCCCTTCTACCCCCAGCTTTGGTTTTTATCCTCTCTAGCCTCAGTGGTTTTGACTCTTTGAAATTCTCTTCTTCTGTATAATTTCCCTTCTGCCTGAAAGCTTCTTCCTCTACTCTCTTACTACAACCTGTACTCCCTTAGCCTAATGAACCCTAATTCTCTTTTATATCTGTTAGTTCAAACATCATATTCTTTTGACCCTCTCTCCTTATTCCCCAAGCAACTTAGCTTCTGTTTTCGGGTGCTCTCAAAGCACCATACAGCTTTCCTTTGTGTTTATTACATTTGTAATGTTATACTTATTTGATTTCCCTTTCAGCTTCATAAACCCAATCTATTTTGCCTATAATTATATCTTCAGTACCTAACACAGTGCCTGGTGTATATTAGGTGCTCAAATCCTATTTGTTGAATGAGTAAACGTCATATGCTTTTTTTTAAAAGATCACTCTGGGTGCTATATTGAGACTAGCTAAGGTGAGGTAGGCAAGAGGGCCTGCTATTAGAGCTGTCAAGGAAAAAAGAGTGGCAATCAAGAGTAAGTTTGATAACAGTGGGATGGAGTAAACAATGTATTTGAGAAGCATTTAGGTAATAAACATGACAAAAATTGATGAAATCAGATGTAGAGGTGTAAGGGAGAGAGGTTATTCTAGAATGCTGTCCAGGATTCCAGCCTTGGAAACTGACTGGAAAGGAGTCATTTCTGAAAGATGAAGGAAGAACAGAGTTAGAAGGAGGGATCAACTTGGGATCTGTAGGCTGGGAATTCTTATAGGAATTTCAAAGAGATGTCATGAGGACAGTGGGATATATGAGTCTGGATTTCAGGAGAGAGGTCTATACCAGATACATAAATTTTGGATTCATCAGAATATACATAACATTTGAAACTTTTGAGAGTGAATAAAATTCCAAGAGAGGAAGGGCAAAATGAGAGATGACAGCTCAAGACAGAACCAAGAGCCTCCTCAACATAAAAGAGAGGAGAGAGCAAAGGAGATTGAGAAGCAGCAGACAATGCCTAGGAGAGAAGACAGGAAAATGTTTCAAGGAGAGTGGACTGACAGCCAACTGAACACTGAAAGGTAAGGGAGTCAAAGGAGAGCGTCCACTAGAGTTTACTACTCAGAGGTCTCAGATGACCTTGGCGTGGACAGTTTCAGTGGGTGTCAGGACGGAGTGGAGTGGTTTCAAGAATGAATGGGAAGTTAGGAAGTATAAATAAGGTTTTGCCTTGAAGGGTGGAGAGCTGAAACCACAGCTGGAGGGGCTCAGAATGCAAGACACACACAGGCAAATTCAAAATAGGTTCGGATTAACCTCGGAACCCAAGGTGGGAAAACTGCTCCTAATGAATGTTCCTGACAGTGCTAGGCCTCCTGGCTGAGCTGGGGACACAGCCGGCCCCAGGGCACACCCCTCGGTCGCTGAGGGCAACAGAATGCGGCTTCACAGAGCCCTGGCCTGGGACTCCTGCGGGATTCCGTGCGGCCTGCTTCCTACCCCACCCCGTCCCCTTCCCAGCGCTAGACCTCCCCTCCCCCACCCCACCCCCAAAGCCCCTGGCTCCGTGTCCCCTACACTTGCCCCCTAGTTGTCCCAAGGAGCAAGAGGTAAAGATCAGGGGAGCGGGTGGTGTGAGGACCAAAGCGGACCCTGAGAGGGGCAAAGACGGGTGGTCTGAAGAAGCCCGGGTGGGAGGTCCGCCCAGTCTTGGGGGGTTGGGGTGGGCTCGGGCCTGGCCAGGAGACCTGGGCCGCCACGAGGAAGGGGACTGCAGGGTAGGTCGCCTGCTGGGAGTCGGGATCCGGCCGCCGGGGTTGGGCCCCCGCAGGGGCAGCTCCTACCTGCGCGGCGAGGCCCCAGGCCCAGGTGGCGGAGGTGGCTCAGGCTGCGGGGCTCGGGCTGCGCCGCGGCTTCTCCATCACAACATCCCCCGCCCAGGAGCGCGCAGGCCGCGGGGCCGCGCCCCGAGCGGCGGAGACGCGCGGGGGAGGGGGAGGGGCGCCATCTTGGGCCAGGCGCGGGCACGCGAGCCCCTGTGGGGCTGCGCTTGCTGCAGCTTTCCGGGGACCCCACCCTGTAAGACGCGCGGCCCTCGGTGAGCACCCCGGCTCAAACCCCTTGGCCAGCGGACGTGGCTGCACCGGGTTTCCCAGGACCTCTGGGACCCCTGGCCAGCGCGGCACCGCCCTCCCCTAGGTGCCACAGACTCACCCTGCGCTCCCCGCAGGGCCCCGGCTCCGCACCCACGCAGGGCGACGCACCCGCGAGGTTGGGGCCCGAGCGGCTGTAGCTGTGCTGGGGCCGCGGCGCTGCCGGGAGCGGCTCGCGGGAGGCAGCCTGCTCGGCTCTTGCGGCAACACTCCCTGACGTGCTGGTGGGGAGGCAATGAGGACACCGCGCTGGTGATAATAATAGCTCATATTTATTGACCGCTTACCCTGTGCGGGGCTCTATGTGCAACCATATACGTGCGTTAATCCTCAAATCAGGCCTGTGCAGTCGCCACAGTTTTTATTCTTATTTTTCAGAGACTGTAGATACCGAGATTCAGAAAGGTAAAGCGACTTGCCTGCAGTCACAGTTAGTGGTGAAATCAGACTGGAAACTCCTCCTGCTGCTGAACATAAAACTGTGACACAAGGCCTTGCAAATGTCAAGAATAAATTGCTCCCCAGGAGAAATTCACAAGAAGGAAGAGAATTCGAATGAAAAATAAAAAGGAAGGGATGGTGGGGCGCAGTGTTTACTTCGGATCCCAGTGATCAGATCACTGACCTAGAGACCATCAAGGATAATGAAGGGCAATGCTACCCATAGAAATTCTCTAAAGGCTTACTCCCCTACGGCCGAAGTTTAATTTTTTGGATTTTTCACACACTGAACAACTGATTGGAGATGCATCTAAAAGTAAAGGTGTCCAAATCTTCTCTTTTTATTAGTCTTCTAAGGCGTTACACTGAGGTGAAAAAGAACCCTCCCCAAGACACACACACACCCACATACACACACACCTCAATCTAGGTGCAGCTGCCACTTCATCCATCCCAATGAGCACCACCATCTACTGGTTTGCCCAAGCCAGAAGCTTCAAGGTTGTCTTTGAATGGACATTCACTTGACTTGAGGTGAATGTTTTGACTTTATATTATAAAATTTTCAACTATATACAAAAATAACAGTATAATCATATACTCATCATCCATTTTCAACAATTATCAATTCATGGTCAAGAGTTTATTAGTTTATTATAATTGACTCACCTGTGATATGTGAACTATGAACCAGATCCCAAACCAGGGCATGGGGGATCCATGAATCACATTAAACTGCAACCCACCTGGAGGAGATGACCTCTGACCTGAGTCCTTGAAAAAATGAGTTAGGTTACCCAGGAGAAGAAAGGTGTCCCCATTCATTCATTTATCTCTTTCAACAAATTATTATTATGCATGAGGTACTGTCCTTGGTACTAGGAATATCTAAAGAAACAAGATAGAGTTTCCGCCTTCATAAAGCTTGAAATTTTACAGAGGAAAGAGACATTAAGCATATAACAAAAACTGTGGTGAGTATCTCAAAGGAGATGTGTAGGGCTTGATATGAGCTTAATTTGGTCTGGAATATTTAGGAGGCTTTCAAGGACAATGATGATTTGCACTATGGTAGCAGGACTAGAGATGGAGAAAATTGCACATGTTTAATAAATATTTAGGAGATAGAATTTACAGAGATTAGTGAGGGATGAAGGAAGTACATAGAGATCAGGCAGGAGAAGAGAAAATTTTTCCAAATAGCAGGAGAATCACAGGAAGGCAAATATGGGTGTTACTATGATCTCAAGCCCCCACCAAAACTCACTTTGAAATTTAATCCCCAAAAGGTGGGATCAGGTGAGACATTTAGGAGGTGATAAGGTGTGGGGTATGGTGGCACCCACTTGTAATCTCAACAACTGGTAAGGCTGAGGCAGGAAGATCATGAATTTGAGGTCAGCTTATACAATTTAGTGAGACCTGTCTCAAAATAAAAAAATAAATAGGCCTGAGGTGTCTATAGTTCAGTGGTAGAGCACTTGCCAAACATGTAAAAGGACCTAGCACCACAAAAACCAAAAATAAAAAACCCACACAAAGATGTGATAGGATCATGAGAGTTCTGCTACTATGGATGGGTTAGTCCATTTATGGATTAATGGACTAATGAGTTATCTGGAGAGTGGATCTATTATAAAAGCAAGTTTGACTCAATCTCTTATATGCACCTCTTGCCATGTGGTGCCCTGAGCCATTTTGGGATCCTACAAAGAGTCCCTAGCAGTATTTACGAAGAGTCCCTAAGAGTTATAGTTATGTTATTTGATTTGATAAGCCAGCCAATTAGCATTAGCAGGCAGTTGGCAACCAAATGCCTAAGTGAAAGATCAGAATTTTCATCTCTATTAACAGTGAAGACAGTTCTAGAGCAAAAGTAGCTTTATCCTCCATTTACACAGACATATTTTTATATTATAAATTTTCTTGTAGTTTATCTACAAAATGCTTTCTTCTGAGTAGTAGTTTTTATCTGGAAAATCTATGAAGAGTAAAATCTTCCCAGTACTACCTGAAGTGGAATTTAGAAGTCAAATTCAAGGCCTGGCAGAACTTCCTCAACACCCTTCAACAGGACTATTCTAAAAGACAGATACTATGAGAAGAGAAAAGGATAGAGAAATGAATTCTGGAAATGCCAACATTTAGGAAGCCTGCAAAGGAGAGAAGGTTATGAAGGAAAATGAAAAGAAACAGAAGGGTAAGAGAAGAATCAGGAGAGAGTAAGGTCATGGAAGAAATCCAAAGGAAGAAAAAATTTCAAGGAGAGGTGAGTGGTTAAAAGCATCAAATGCAGCAAAGATTTCCCATAAGTTTAGACAATCAAGTATTCTTTGGGGGCTGGGATAGTAGCTCAGTGGTGAAGCACTTGCCCAGCATGTATGAGGCACTGAGTTCCATCCCCAGCACCACATATAAGTAAGTAAATAAACAAATAAAGGTATTGTGTCCATCTACAACTAAAAGTCTATATTTAAAAACTGAAAAAAAAGAATATTCTTTGAATTTGGCAACATGGAGGTTATGGATCCTCACGATTTAATCAGTATCAGAAAATGGAGGAAGAAGGCACAGTGGGATGAATTGAGCAATTATAAATGAGAAAGTAGAGTAAATAAATATAGAACCTCCATTTGAGAAATTTGAAAGAACAAGTAGACAGCTGAGAAGTGATATGAGTTTAAAGATTCTGTTTTTGTGGTATGAAACTTTATAAAAAAAAATAAAAATAGAGCCAAATCTGTAACGACACATACCTGTATTCCCAGTGATGAGGGAAACTGAGGAACAAAGATTGCAAGTTTGAGGCCAGCCTCAGCAACTTAGCAAGACCCTTTCTCAAAAAAAAAAAAAAAAAAAAGAAAAGGACTGCAGATATAGCTCATTGGTAAAGTGCTTCTCAGTTCAATCCCCAGGACCAAAAAACAAAAAACAAAACCAAAAAAACCCTAAAAATATCACTACTATACAATCCAGCAATCCTATTACTAAATATATATCCAAAAGAACTGAAGTCAGTTTTTCAAAGGGATATCTGCAATCCCATGATTATTATAGCATTATACAATAGCCAAGATGTAGAATCAAAGTTTCCGTCAACTGTTCAATGGATAAAGAAAATGTGATATTTATATACATAGAATACTATTCAATTTTTAAAAAAGGAGAAATCCTGGCATTTGTGGCAAAAATGGATGAACCTGGAGGACATTATATTAAGTGAAACAAGTCAGGCACAGAAAGACAAATACCACATGATCTCACTTATATGTAAATCTAATAAAGATGAATTCACAGAATTACATGGTAGAATGATACTCACCAGGGACTTGGACAGAGGATGGGAAAGAAGAGAATGTATATTGTTGATCAAAGGATACCCGGAGTTCCAGGGAGAAGGGAGGAATAAGTATTGATATCTAGTACACAGCTGGGAGACTTGTCACATATAATGTGTTATCTATTTCAAAATAATTAAGAGAGTAAATTTCAAATATCTTCTATAAAAAAAGATAGGTAAGCAAGGTAAGGGATATATTAATGAACCTGATTTAATAATTCCATACTACCTACATATATCAAAACATCATATAGCTTATAAATGTATAAATGTATGTAATTTATAAATGTAATTATTATTTATCAATAAAATAACTTATTAGAAAAAAATTGAAAAACTAAAGTTCATCTTTCAAGTTAAAAAATTCTGCTTTTGTCATCTTTTTAAAATAGAATGTATGAAGACATGAATAATGTGAAAATACTTTGTGTATAATCAGTGACTTGAAAATTGTGCTCTATATGTGTAACATAAAATGAATTGCATTCTGCCATCATGTATAACAAATTAGAATAAATAAATAATTTAATAATTTAAAAAGATAACATAAACTTGGACAAGAGTATAAACTAGCAAAAGATACCAGTGGAGAAGATCATTTTAAAAAATAAAGAGGAGCTGAGGATCTAGCTGAGTGGTAAAGTGCTTGCCTAGTGAGTACCAGGCCCTGGGTTTGATTCCCAGCAATGCAAAAAAATAAAATAAAATAAAGAAAAAGGAAGATGATAGATAGTGTGAGATTCTGGAGATGATGAGGGGGGTATGGGATCAACTTTATAGTCCATAATTTTATATTCTGAAGGGATAGAGGTGAGGATAAGAAGGGCATGTAGGGTAATTTAAAGGGCAGGAGCAGGGAAGAAGTTGAGGTATTTCATGGCTAATAATAACACTATTTTTTAAGTCTTTAGCTGAGGAAAGGAAGGAAGATTGGATGGGCAACAAGAAAAAATTTCACAAGATGAGTATTATCCTGTCATAAACATCCATTGTTGATACCATTGTTATTTGCCCAACATCCATTCCCCCTTGGAAACAGCACATCAGCTTTCTGTAGAAATCCAAATCTCCCCTATTCTTTTTTTTAAGTTGTTTATAGACCTTTATTTTATTCATTTATTTATATGCCTTGCTGAGACTCGAACACAGGCACACAGGCTAGGCAAGCGCTCTACCACTGAGCCACAACCCCAGCCTGAATCTTCCCCATTCTCAGTTCACATGGGATTCCAGTCCCACAACCCACTTCATTGATTTGTCCATATTAGGGTCAAAGGGGTCAGTTCAGAGATGGGCATATGACTAATTCTGAGCAAGTGAAAACCAGATCTAGGTATTTCCCTGACCTATCAGTCTAAATCGTTGGTAGACTGAAAACCTGGTAGACATCTCACCCCTAGGAAGAATCAACTTTCCTGAGAATGAAGCCAACTCAAAGAAAGCAAAGCACAGAGATAGAAAGAGACAGATGCTTTAGAATATCAATTTAATATCTACATTGACCTCTGCCTGAAGTCAAAAGCTGCCTAAAGATTTTTAAAATTACATAAGTCAATAAATTCTCTTCTTGCTTATAGCACTTTGAGTTTTATCGCTTAACTAAGTGATCCGATGAGTATGAACACATGTGGCAGATATTCCCTGTTGCTACTCATTTGCACTTCCACTCCTCTATAATCTCCCCTGTATCACCAGGGCTGGGACTCTGAAAACCACAGTTCTCGCACTCCCTTGTCAGCTTGGTTCCAGTTAAGTCTGAAGGTGGGAAGAAGGGAAAGTCCTTCCGTTTCTGGCAGTGCCACTGGCAACATCAACTGCAGCAGTTCCTGCCTAGAAAAAGTGGAGACAGTTCCAGCAGCATCAGCAATACAGGCTAGTGCAGATTTGTGGGCTCCAGCTTCTGGATTTTTGGTTAATAACTTTTCTTCCTTTGGCTTCTCTAAAACAAGACTGGTACTAGCTTCCTGATCTCTGGGTAACCATGTTTTTTTTCTTGTGTCTCCAAAACCTCCCTATCACTTTGTAACACTTTCCTTGCATTAAATCCGTCTCTACTTGGAATTTCTAGAGTGGTTTCTCTATTTTACTGAAAAATGACTGATGAAATACACATTCCTATTTTGCATATATATGCATATGTACATATGCATATACACACACAGAGCTCAAGAAGTTCAGTAAGTATCTCAAATCTACAAAATTAGTAAGAGGCTTAGCTGGGATTAGAAATCAGACATGCTTTGAACAAAACAGGAAAAGAAAAGGATAATCTATGTCTAACATCCAAGAAGATCTATTCTTGAAATAGACACAAATTTGCAATAAATGATTAATTAGTTAAAAAAAAAAAAAAGAAAGAAGCCAGGCACAGTGGCCACACACTTGTAATTCCAGTGGCTTGGGATGCTGAGGCAGGAGGATTGTGAGTTCAAAGGCAGCCTCAGTAACTTAGGCCCTAAGCAACTCAGCAAGACCCTGTCTCTAAATAAAATATAAAAAAAGGCCTGGAATGTGGCTCAGTGGTTGAGTGCCCCTAGGTTTAATTCCCAGTACTTAAAAAAAAAAAAAAAGAGTCAGACATGTTTGATTCTCTGACCTATAGTTGAATTTAGGTTTTGTTGTGGTGGTACTGAGAATTGAACCCAGGGGTGAGCTACCATCTCCAGTAAGTACTTTTTACATTTTGAGACAGGCTTTCACTAAACTGCTGAGGCTGACCTCAAACTTTGGATCTTCCTGTCTCAGCCTCTTCGGTGCCTGCAATTATAGACATGCACCATGTGGCTCTGCTGTTTTTTTTTTTTTTGTTGTTGTTGTTGTTTTTACTTTTTCTTTGTTTTTTTTTCTTTTAATAGCTGAATAAAAGTTAAAGTCAGGAAGAGAAGACAAGTAAAAACCATCATTAAGAAAGTTGTTCAGGCCAGGCATAGTGGCACATACCTGTAATCCCAGCAGCTCAGGAGCTGAGGCAAGAGGATGGCAAGTTCAAAGCCAGCCTCAGCAAAACCAAGACACTAAGCAACTCAATGAGACCCTATCTCTGAATAAAATACAAAATAGGGCTGGGGATGTGGCTCAGTGGTTAAATGCCCCTGAGTTCAATACCTTGTATATGAAAGAAAGAAAGTTGTTCAAGTGATCAATGTTCAATTTGAGTAGGGAAATTATATCTTTTGGGGAATGGAAAACTGAGAGTAACAAAGTTCAAGAGCAGAAAGATAGGAATGAAGCAGAAAAATAAGGAGATTGTGCTCATCAGTGGTGTGTTGGAATATAAGGAATTTGTTTACATGTGAAACTATTGTGAGTGATAAGAATCAGGATTTGTCCATAGTAATTGGGAGGCTAAAGAGGGTACTCCAATCTGCAAAATTTTCAGCAACTAAGAGAACAAAGACATTGATAGAGGATTGCCCAAAGAATGATAAAGAGGTGGTGTATGTCTATAATCCCAGTGACTCAGTAGGCTGAGGCAAGAGGATCCCAAGTCCAAGGCCAGCCTCATCAATTTAGCAAGACCTTCAGAAACTTAGTAAGACCCTGTCTTAGAATAAAATATGAAAAGGGTTGGGGATGTAACCCAGTTGTACAATGCCCCTGGGTTCAATTCCTGATACATAAAAACAAACCAAAAAAATGAACAAAAAGATTGATAGATATAATGTATAATGTCCAAGGAGAAGAAATTTAACCAGCATAAAAAGTGGAAGAAAAATGGTACAACTGTGTATGGAAGTTGTATCAATGCTAACAGCTTTCCATCCACTGGGATAGCTACAGGGAAAGGGAAACAGCCTGCTCTTAATTAAAGCAGAATGTAAAGAGGTAGAGAAGCTGGGCTGGGGATATAGCTCAGTTAGTAGAGTGTTTGCCTGGCATGCACAAGACCCTGGGTTCAATCTCCAACACACACACAAAACAACAGTTTTCTATACTGGGTGCAGTGGTGCAAGCCTGTAATCTCAGTGGCTTGTGAGGCAGGAGGATTGTGAGTTCATAAGCCAGCCTCAGCAACAGCGAGGGGCTTAGCAGCTCAGTGAGACCCTGTCTCTAAATAAAATACAAAACAGAGCTGGGATGTGACTCAGCAGTCAAGCACCCCGAGTTCAATCCCCAGTACCCCACCAAAAAAAAAAAAACCAGGTAGAGAAGCTTATTAACTATGGAATATGTAAAGGATATAGGGTAGCTGTGGAATATGAATCTGAGAGGACATCATGGCTATCAGAACTTGTCAGTCTACAATTCTATCCACCAAAGTCTCACAAAACAAGGGGCCATCAGGTCAAGAGGTCTGTCTGTCCCTAAACTAGATGAGGTCCTGGACCACAGTCTGGGTCTACTGCCAGGGTTTCTTCTTCCTGAATAAACCAAAGAATGAACTTGTCACTGAAAGATGGGTTTTATTATACACATTTTAAAGAAAAAGTAATTGAGGCTAAGACACAGAAGCTCAAGGTAAAGGTGCTCTGCTAGAGTTTCAGATTATTTTTTTTTCCTTTCCACATTTTTTTATTGGTGCATTATAGTTGTTAGCTATTTAAGCCTAAAACAAACTAACCTCCAACCACAGCTGAGTTTGAAAGGTAAAGAAGGAAAAGAACCTTACCTGATACCCAGTTGCCTATAGTCTAGGCCCAATCCCCAGTCAACTTGTTGTCAGAAAGTTTAGAACCAAAGCTTTGGTCAGTTCCTGACCAGAAAAAAATCAAGCACTGTAATCTCTATGCAATTGACAGTTGCTGGCCTAGATGGTGCAAATACCCAGGAGATTGAAGGGGCTGTCAGATGCTCTCTGCCAGCAGAGTTCCTGAGGCTCCAGAAGATCCCCTGGAGCTGTGTTCTGCAAATCTGTTTCATGGTGCCAGGTCTCTGAATCTTTCTTTCTCTCCTCTCTTCACTTTCTCTGACACATAGCTAGTGTCTTTGTTTTCCTACTTCAACTTCATACCTTTGTTATGCCTAACTCAATGATAACCAAAACCTCATCTTCTGTCTTCTGCCTAAACCACCTGGAACTGCAATTTGAGATAGGTGCCCCCTACATGGTTGCTGTGAACTAATCCACTTTGCACATTTATAGCTCCCCAGTTCCCATGGTTCCAAATGCCTTGGGGCCAATCTGTGGTCAGTTTTTAGCAGGTTGGGTCAGAATCCTATCTCTGCCTCTTTCTTGCTGTGTAAACTCAGCAGTTCCTCTTCCCATTCTGATCCTCTTTTTCTTGCTTTGTGTAGATAGTCTGGAAAAAGCCAGTGTGTAGTCTGGAATCAAAAACCATCTATGCAGGTTCATCCCTTAGCTTTTCCCTTTCTGCTTCCCACAGTTTTGTTTGAGTTTAAAAATCTCAAAAAGTGACGCTAGTAATTTTTCAACTCAAAGAAAGAAGATTGTTCTACAATGAGGCTCCATGATTCAAGTGAAGAGGCAATCTGGCTTTATTGGGAGGAAAGTGGGGAGATGGGGCTGAGCCCAAACTTTTGTCAGAAAGCTCCTCAGTGACTGCAGCCCAGGAGGCTATTCACTCTCTGGGGCTGGGGAAGGGCCTTGGCTGCAGTCAGTTTCTCCACATCACTGTAGCAGTATAAATTAGAGCCATGGATGAGGTACAAGCCAGGACCATTGGCAGAACATGAGTTGGGGCCAAGGGACTTTTCTGTACATAGAGCCCCATCAACCTTCTCATGTGGCCATGGAAGCTCTGTCCACGTGGCTTGAGCTCCTGACTTCAGGTCCAGCCACCATAGCCGCCGTCCTAGAAAGAAGATATCAAACATAACATGGCTTCCATATCATGGGGATGCTGACTTAGCTCTTCTCATGACCTGGTGGGAAGCTATGCCATGGAGAGGTAGCAGAATGAGTCAACTTTTAAGAACCAGAAGCCCCTCACCTTCCATGATGTACAGCCGAGAAGACCCAGGACAGGTAAAGGCTGCATCCACAGCCTGAAGGCTGATTCCATGAGGGCTTCCAATTTCCTTCTCTAACCGCTTTGGATAGCCACTCACCAGGGGATAGCCTCCCTTTGTCAGGAAGACATACACCTGGGAATCCTGGAAGACAAAGGACAATAATCAGCATAGAGCTGGATATTTGTATCCAAGTTTTCACCTCAATCTCTCTTCCAACACACACCTGGATCATATAGAGTTTATCCTCCCAGGAAAAGGCAGCATCCACTGTTGAAGGACCCTGGGGCCACAGATGAACAATGGGCCAGCTGTGCCACCCATCCCGGCTGGTGTCCAGACGCCAGTAATGGGACCCTGTGGGATATCAAAAGTAGTTCCAGTGTTGGCAGGAAAAGCCCAGGCAGCAAAGAAGCTGCTAGTAGCAGATGTAGGGATGAGTCACAAGAGGGATCAAATGTCTCCATCAGCAAGAAGTAAGCGGCCAGGTGAAAGGAGAAATGGAGTAAGACTTCGTTTGTAATGTGGGAATTGTGGCCCAGCTGGAAATGCAGTCAACAGAAGCAAGCATGGGGCTGGGATATAGCTTAATGGTAAAGTGCTTGCCTCACGTGCGTGAAGCCCTGGGTTTGAGCCCCAGGGCTGAAAACATGAACATTAAAAACAAAAAACAACTGATATCACAAAGAGGCAAGCATGGAGAAAAGCAATCGAGTTTCCATATAAGGCTAACATTGTGGGGTTTGGTGGGGGCTCTTAGCTCATCTCAGGTATGAACAGAGATGTGGTTTTAGTTAAGGGCCAGAAGTTAAAGAAAAGGACCATGACAAGCTTCTGCAGAGTGTTCTCATCCTGGCTGTATTCTCTGATCCCCGTGAGGTGGCAAGAGAATGAGGGATTAGCATCCATTTTTCTTCTCCACCTTTTACAACAACTTGTTAAAGGAATTATCTAGGCTTCCATTCATCCTTTTGGCTTAGCCCTCTTCAATTATACTAGTGTTGCCTTCTCTGTTGAAATTGTTCTTGCCAAGGTTATGTTAATCTAGTGTAATTCTTTGTCTTTACCTGACTATCTGTCAGCAGCATCTGACTGCTCACCAATCCCTTCTTTAAACTTTTTTTTTTGACTGTGATACCAGACTCTTTCAGTGGTCTTCTCATCTCTTTGATGCTTCTTCTCTTCAGCCTGATATCTGAAGATTGGAGTCCCCTAGTTTGGGCCTCTTCTCTTCACTCTCTTAGTGATCCCACCTAGTCCTGAAGCTTTAAATTACATGCTGAGGGCTTCCAAACCATTCTCTTCAGTTCTGACTGACCTCTCCTTTGAACTTTAGACTCAAAATCAATTGCCTACCTGACATGTTTATTTGGTGCCTAATGAACTTAATATGTGCAAATACAAAACTCTCTGTCTCTCTCAGTTTCTCTTTGTAGTGTTTCCCAATTTTAGAAAAAGAAACCACCAGTCATTCCATTTCCCAGACCCCCAAAGCTGAGTTTTTCTTGAAACCTCTGTTTTCCCTTCCCTACTCTGACCACAATCCCACCTACCAATTGATGCTGTCAACTCTGCTTTAAAATATATGATGACCCTTCACCACCTTTGCTGCTATCATGCTAGTCTAAGCTTTCATCACCTTCAACTGGAACAGCTGTAAGAATAACAACCTGGATTCCTTGCTTACATAATCACATCTGCATTGCTGATGGTCCACAAGAAGCAGGATGGTTTTTTAAAAAATAAGTTGGAACATATCACAGCCTAGTTCAAGACCTTCTCTTTGCTTCCTTTTACAGTTGAAAATCCTTACTAGGCCTATGTAATCTGGTCCCTGTCTCCATCTTTTTTGAGTCACCCACCTGCTCCTTCACTGTGTTCCAGTTGTGCCAGCATTCTTTCTTGATTGCCCTAAGTATTTGCTGTTCACTCTCTCTAAAATGTGTTCCTTCTAGGGTCTTGCATGGCTAATTCCTTTTCATTACTGACAAATAAACTCAAAACTTGTCTCTTCCAATGAGGGTCCCATTTTTCTCACTTCTATTCCATTAATCCTCTTATTTGTTTCACAGATTTTTTTTTTTTGTATCAGAGATTGAACCTAGTGGTGCTAACCACTTAGCCACATCCCCAGCCGTTTTTATATTTTATTTAGAGATAGGATCTCACTAAGTTGCTGAGGCTGAGTCGCTAGGATTACAGGCATGTACCATCGTGCCTGGCTTTTTTCAGAGATCTTAATACTATGTGAAATTATTCGATTTCCTTCTTTCTTATTGTCTTCTCCCTCTAGTGGCTTTATGAGGGCAGATGTCTTGTCTTTCTTGTTTACTATTGTATCCCCAGTGCCTAAAACAATGCCCATTGCCTCTCAGGGGCTCAATAAATATTTGTTAAGTAAATACGTGGTATTCTTGCTTTGCTTTGTAGCTGTGAACTGAGTTTGTAGTGGTGATTGCCATATTTGTCTTCCCCTTCTGCTGGAATTACCCTGCTCAGAACCCGAACTTTTTTTTTCTTTACTGGGGAGAGGGAGCGTGGGGTTCAGAGACTGAGGATAAAACCCAGGGCCTTGTGCATGTTAGGCAAAAACTCTTATCACTGAGCTATATCCCCAGCCCTCAGGGGCCCTATTTTGAGAATTATGCTACTCTTTGTGCAGAAAAAAGTGATGAGTCCCCAACACATCTGTAGCCAATATGTAGGTTGACCTGCAGCCATTTTAATGCAGTCTGATATGAAAATGTGGAGCTGGGCCAATCAGAACCTCTCTCAAGAAAAGACAACAATTGAAGAAGTTGGCAGTTGGATCCAGGGCTGAAAGATCATGAAGTAGAGATGGTGGAGAAGACATGATGATCCTTGTGCAAGCCAAAATTATAAGGAGCAGAGAGTGAATAGGAAACCATGGGGCAGAGAAAAGAAAGATTTAGAGAGAGAGAAGATAACTAGGCCCATGCTAAGTAGAGAAGTCACATAGATGTTTTCACTAAGACAGTGTGTTCTCTCACTTCAGCAGGATTTTTTAAAATATTTATTTTTTAGTTGTAGTTGGACACAATACCTTTATTTTATTTATTTATTTTAATGTTGTGCTGAGATCAAACCCAGGGCCTCAAACATGCTAGGCAAGCACTCTACCACTGAGCCACAACCCCAGCCCTCAGCTGGATATTTTTAATATAATGGGGTTCTTTCCGTGGCCATGTGCTCTCTAAGCTATGGAACATATATGATATTTTTTATTTAGGAGTTCAGCTGTATTCTCTTCATAGCCATGATCTCTCCATGGCTGAGTGCCCTCTATTTCTGTGTGACTCCTATGGCTCTTTTTTCTCAAGCCCTCCTTCTCTACCCCCTACAATCTTTGTCTATGTGTCCTCCAATGGGTCCACACTCTCCCCATATTTGCACGTTCTCCTGATACTTACATGTACTTACTGTGGCATACATTCTCAATTTAGTTCTGTATGGTCCACATGTGTATGTTTCATTCCAATTCTGTGTTATCATTATAGTGTGCATTCTTGCTAAGGGGATATGCTCTCTTTGAGGCTATGCATTTTTCAATAGAACATGGTAGTCATAAATTATCAGATTTTTCCAGGTTGGAGCAAAAAAAAGAAATTTTCACTTTTGTGTTCTCAGCACTTTCTCTCCTTTTATATCTGATCATACATATATCTCAGGTTGAGTATAATGTGGTTGTTCATACCCTCTCTTAGAGATAATCTAAGTATAGAACATGACTCATCACTCCCTGCCTAACTAATCCCAGAACATCTCCAGGTATTAACGGATGGCTTTTACCAATTGATGTTACAAGTCAAGACACAGGTGTTTCCATGGGACACTCAGAGGAGAAAACTCCTTGAAGTCACTTCATAAAAGCCTAGGATATCCACAACTTCTTGACTGGTTCTTAGAAATGGTAACATCTCATCCCCAGGTGATGCTAATCTCAGAAGCCTGACATATGAACAAGCTACCTGGGGAAAGATTGGGCTCCTAATGATCAATTCCAGGGGAACCACTGTACTCAGAAAGATATGCCAAAGTAAAGGGACACAAGAAGAGACAGAAATACAAGGAGATCTCTAAAATTAAAAAAAAGCCAGAGGGCTCAGCAGGATGCCTACAAGGAAGACATGAGGAGCCCTTGGGGCTCAGAGAGATCCACAGAACCTGGGAGTAGATGCCTACTTACTGAGAGGTTAACAATTAGATGAAATTAGAGGCCTGGGCAATGAGAGATAAGGTTGAAAAATATGCATCAAAGGGATTGAGGATGGAAAAGGACATGCTAGGGTAGGGACAGAGAGGACAGAGTAGAGACCATAGTGATGAAAATGGAGAAAAAGCCTCAAAGAGGAGAGGTATAACTGAAAGAGATGTGAGAGTTGGGGAGTCTCTTACCACTAAAGGCATAGGTGGCTCCATGGTTGTCAGATACCAAGGCAGATAAGACTAAATCTGGACTACAGCGTGTGTACTGAGGGCCATGGCGGGTGCCATTCCCATGGGCAGTTCTATTCCTGTGCATTCCATGGCCTAGAGGAAAAAATAGGTGAGGGGAACATAGAGGGAGCCCACAGGTCAAAATGGGGTCTGAGGTGGAAGAGATGGTTGGACAATGGGAAGAATCAGAATGGCACTGGGGTTAGGGGTAAGAGCCAAGGTGTTAAGGCACAGAGTTAAGGTGGGAGCTGGGGCACATGTGGTCCACGAGTTCAGGGAATTCTAGCAGGCCCCTGGGACTGGGACTTTCTCACCTCTGCCAGGGCAGGATACGAAGTAATCTCGAGCATCCCGAGGGTATGCTGCAGGCACCTCTCCCGTGACAGGGTCAAAGCGCAGAAATTTGTTACCCTGGAAGCAGTAGTAGCGTCCAATCCACCGCAGGGCAGCTGTGCAGTTCCCCACAGCTGGCCAGGAACGCTCCTTTTTGTTTCCCGTAGCAAAGTCCCAGAACCATTTGCGGTTTCCTTTTCCAAAAGATCAACAAGCATTTGGTGAGGCTGGGTTATGCCCCCACTTGTGCTTACACTGGGGTCCAAGATGGGTCAGATATGGTACTGGCCACACAGAGTACCAGCAGGGAGACAGGTGAGAAAGATACAACAATTCAACAGCAAGGTACACACATCAGCTCAGTGATAGAGTCAAAGAAAAAAAATCTCAGGGAAGGTAAGAAACTGAAATCTGAAGTAGGAGTTACAAGACAGATAAGACAGGGAGATGGAACTCCAGAAACAGGTAAAAGCAAAACTGAAGGTACAGGAAATAGCACAGAGTTTCTCAAATTTACTGTTCAAGATAAGAGTGTGAAAAGAGTCAAAGCTGGATGATCAATAGGGTTTAGAGAATCTTGCACATAAGACTAAAGAGCATGCATTTTTCTGTGGACATGGGGAATAATGAAGGAATTTTAGCAGAATTATGTCTAGTTATCTTCAAGAGAATGAGTTCCTCTCCTCCCCTCTTAACCTCTAGATCATAACTGGCTTTTCTATTTTCCTTCCTTATAACGCCACCACCATCACTATCAGTACCACTACACCACCACCATCATCCCACCAGGTCCTTAGATTCCCACCTGGACTGACCTTGAAAGAAGAGGACCCCTTCTTCTTGGCATTCGCCCCGATGACATTCCACAGCTGCATCCACTGGGGATGGGATTCCAGGAAATTCATCTTGGAGCAGCTTTGGATATCCTTTCTCCTTCTTTTCAGGAGGATACACCCAGACTTTGTCCCCCTACATCCAAAAGCACTCTCTTTTTAACTGTGCATCCCCAGATACTGCCACTTGATTTTCACACACAACATTTTTAAAAATATTTTTTAAGTTATTGATAGACCTTTATTTTATTTATTTGTATGCAGTGCTAAGAATCGAACCCAGTGCCTCACATATGCCAGGCAAGTGCCCTATCGCTGAGCCATAGCCCTAACCTTCACACACAATATTTTGATCTATTGCACTTATATAAGATCCTCCTGCAGAACCACACATTTTCAATCCATCTGTGGAAAACAATATGTTGCTCCTTGTATAATACATACCCTCTGTGCAAATCTGTTGCTATTACTATCTCTCTCTCTCTCTCTCTCTCTCTCTCACACACACACACACACACACACACACACACACACACACACACACCTTGCTAAGTATAACCAGATACTCCTGTGGCATACTTAATCATAACACTTTCAGTTTGGGCAAACACACCCACAAATAGTCATCCTGAACTCATCCATCCACTCCTATATTCATTTGTTCATTTATCAATACATTTATTCAAGAAACAGTTACTGAATGACCATTATATGCCAGGTATTGTGAGAGGCACTGGGAGTCAAGAAGTTCTCTGTACAAAAGCAGAAACAATCCTACAATTCTGGCCAGGTAGCCACCAAGGTTGAAAGCATGCAAAGTATATTTGGAATATAAAGAAATGCCTAAGTCTGTCTACTAAATTCCTGAGGAAGGCTTCACAGCAGAGAGGAAGCATTCGGCCTGAGTTGAAAAATAAGCAGAAATTTTCCAGATGGACAAATGAGGAAAGACTGTTACCAGCAGGGGGAGCAGCAAGCAGAGCCCAATAATGAGGAAGCTCAAAAACTTTATGTACATAATCTCATGTGGTTGGCACGCAGTGAACATGACAAGGGAGGAGAAACCAAGGGCCAAGTCCATGAGACCCGTGTACACCTGACTTGTAATAACCAGGTACATGGTGGTACCTTTGCTGAAACAGGGAACACAGAAGGAAAGGTTTGTTTGTATGGAAGATATTAAATCCAGAAGATGCTAAATTTGAGGTGCCTGTGGAACGCCAAAGTCAGAGATTTCTGCCAGGAAACTGGTTAAGAAATGTCTGAAGGCGTGTTAGGAGAAGATCCAGACCTGGTATTCACAGCATGAAGAGTCCTGAGAATAATGTAATGGTTGAGATCACCCAGGGAGGGTTCATGAAAGGGCTTGGAGTAGATCCCCATGTAATACCTGGGGATTGGCTGAGGATGGGACACTGAAGAATAGAGGGAAAAAAGGCAGCCAGGGTCACCTCAACTGTAGGTACCTTTGGTAAGTAAGGAGAAGATGACTCTCTGAGCACACACAGTTTGGCCAGGGCACAGGACTTGGTAAGCATAGTAGTCTGTATTTCATCCTTTACTTGCTCCCTTAGCCACATATCATTGCATTGGGAAGACCTGCCCTGCCATATGAAGATGAGCTGACACAGAATCATAAAAACTAAGTAAAGAAATCATAGTAAGGAAAGGATAGCCAACAATGTTAGGTGTAGCAGAGCCTTCTAGAACTTAAGACCAGAACTAAAAAATAGCAACTGGAGGTTGTGCCTTTCAGGTCAATGTACATATGTATTCCCTTAGCCTGGGCTTTTCTTGGGGAAAAGAAAACACAGAGGAAGAAAAGTTCATATCTATTAGTATGGGCCTTGCTGTAGTTTGAATATGTCCCCAAAAGTTCAGGTGTCAGAACCCCATCCCCAGTGCAACAATGTTGAGAGGTGGGATCTAATAAGAGGTGATTAGGTCATAAGGGTTCTGCCCTCATGAATGAATTAATGTCATCACATTAACATGATAATGGGAGTGAGTTATCACAAATATAGGTTGTTATAATAGCAAATTCAGACCCCTCTTGACCTCTCTCTTGCCCTTCTGCCTTTCTACCATGCTATGACGCAGCAGGAATTCCCTCACCAGATGCCAGTACCATCGTCTTGGATTTCCCAGACTTCAGAAGCATAAGTCAAATAAATTTCTGTTCATCAAAGAGAACTAGTCTCAGATATTCTGTTATAGCAGCAGAAAATGGACTAAGACAGGCCCCATGCCAGGACCACTTGAAGGAGGTCTCTTGTGTCAATTCCAGCTCTTTCTGGCCCAGCCCTTATGTTGGCCCAGCAGTACCTTGATCAGGAAGACACTGTCGTGACCACGGCGGAATGCAGCATCCACGGGGGTGGTAGAATTCTTCCACCTCTCTGAGATTAACTCTGGGGCCCATTTGTGACTCTTCCACACGTATTCCCCTGAAAAACCCACACTAATTGAGAGACCCAGAAAGAACAAACATTTGGCCTACTGAGACAGTTACAGGGATGTTGTTGGTGATACTCTCAGATAATTCCTCAGCCCTCCCATAGGCAGAAATAGTCTCTGTAAAGGGGGGCCAAATCTGTGGTGCCAAATGCTCTAGCTACAGCCCATCCTACCTTTAAAAAACAGCAAGGTACTATTGTCATCAAAGGTAATAGCGTCAAAGCTCCAACCATCTAGGCAGTATTCTGGGGTGGAGGTAGGGAGACGGCAAAGTAAAAAACAAAACAAAAACAAAAGAAACAGTAAGATGATAAAATGCAGAGATACAACCAGACAGATAGATTCAAGGAGTTGGTGTCCCACATATCACACCTGGGTTTGGCTTTGTTCCTTTCCCACCTTCAGCAACACTCCCATGGGCATTAGTCCTAAAGAGAACACAGATAGAGGTCTGGATCCAGTGGAACAATTTGTCTCCCTTGGCTTTTGACCCAGGCCTAAAAACTGGCCTTATCTTACCCAAACCCAGATTCCAGTTTTCCATCCCTAATTTACTCACGAAGGAAGTGGGTTGGCAATGACCAGAGACCAGCACAGGCCCCAAAACCCCAGTGCAACTGGTGCTCCTAGTACCCTATTCATGATGAGCTGGAAAGGCCACAGAACAGCACTGGGCTCTGGGTTGAACTCCTTATATAGAGTTGGCAGCAGCTCCACCCCCACTCCCAACCCTACTGGAAATGAGCTGTCTCCCAGGACTATGCTAATATTGGCTGATTACATCACTGCAAATAAGGTCAGGGTCTGGACAGATATCTGAGTCCAAGACTCTCTTCCCGGCAGTATACCCCATCCCCCTTCAGCAAATTTCCAGCAGAGACTAGCCCCTGCCATTGATATCCAGCAGTGGCTCCATCATACTGGCCAAAGTCTTGGTATGTATAAGTCAGGGAAGGAGGTAGATTGAGGATCACCTTCCCATGATTGATTTTATCTCTATGGTGGGGGAAGAGAGATGAGGGAAGTAACAGCTTTGTGTAGAAAGTGTCAAGTTATACTCAACTAAAGCCCTAAGGCAATTAGAAGAGACTGATACTTACATAGGTCTACACACAACATACTCAGACCTACAGCTTTTCTCAAGATCTAGCAGGAGCTTTCCTTGGGTACTCCAAGCCTTCTCAGCTTTATCCCTAGATTAGTGATTTAGAGGGCAATAAAGATTCATCATTGCCAAATGTCCAAGTCCCATGCCCAGCCTCAATGCCTGCCAGCAAAGAACATTGCAAAAGTTGCCTGGCAGGGAAGAACTGAAAGTAACAGGGTGGAAGAGGAGGTGTCTCGCTTCCAAAGGGCACTACCATTACTAGTAATTAGCTCACGGTAGTTTCAACTTTGGGGGGAAATGCTTTATTTACCCATCATAGAACAAACAGAACTGTAACTGGGTTTCACAATATTTGCAGCTGATTTCTTCTTAAATGCTGCCTTCTCAATAAAGTCTTTCTTGATCACCTTATCCAGACATTTCAGACTTGCTTGTTTCCTTCATGATGCTTACTGAAACTTGAAATTATTTCATTTATCTACTTATTTGGCTGCTTTTTGTTGGTTATTTGTTTTTGTTTTAAATTTGTAGTGTTGGACATCGAACCCAGGGCATCATGCATGCTAGAAAAGCACTCTAACACCAATTCACACCTCAGTCCTATTTTTGTTTTTTGACTTTGCTTGTTTTGTCTGTCTTATTTACCATTAAATCCCTGCCAGCTAAAATGGCACATAATAGTTGGTCAGTAAACAAATGGAATAAATGCACTTTGAGTCCTGATTAGTGTTGCTAATGTTATAGCCAGATTTCTAACAGTTTTCCTTCTTCTGGGGTAGGTAGAATATTAGTAATGGTGTGTTATGATAGGTGGCATATTGAAATCTAGTGATCACAGATGACCTAGTCCTTCCTGGGATCTCACCCACCATCTCTAGTACCTGCTCTCCTCACTACTCATTTCCTTCTGAGATTGACTGCTGTCAGGAGAGAATTGTGGGTGGAATCAACTATGAGCCTGGCTGAGTTACTGGGGCCCTCTTTTCTAGTTAAGCCTGAAAGGGTCCTGATCCTTCTCAGAGGATTCCAACCCCCCTCACAACCCCCTATAAAACTTTAGCAAAAGTCTGAGATTCCCCCCAACCTGCCTTTGCCTTTCTGGTGCTGGGGATTGAACCTAGAGCTTGCACATGCTCTGTCATTGAGCTTCACCCCCAGCTCTGAGATCCTTTTTCTATTCTGCAAAATTTCCTCCCAGCAGAAAAACAGAATTTATGGTACATGCCACCAGTCCTCTGCCATCAGGTTCAATGTCTTCTCCTGAATTACAAATGAAAATGTGCCATTAACATCATTATCTCTTCATAGGTCAGTGGACAAAGCTGGATTCCCTGAGAGGTAATGACAGCTCCAACGGCTGATATCTGACACCCACCTTCTCTCTATTGCAGGGTATATCTGGTTGGATCTGCTGCAGCCCCGATGCTGGGCCCCTCACCTTTTCTTTCCCTCACAATCTCTGAAACCCTATATAATCTTCCTGGGATCCTGCCTGAGCACCTAGTGACCCTCCATCAGCAATATCCTCAACAATTTGTTTTCAGTTGCCACAGCCCAACTACAGGCTTTGCTAAGCCTGCCTGGATTGATGGAAGCTTTCACCTCAAATCTCCAGAAAAGTCTTCAATTGTCCTATTACTGACTTGCTGGTCCAGGGATCAGTCTGACCTAGCTGGGTTCTTTGAGGAGAAACAGCAAATGTACTGGATGATGGTTTTTCATGTTGGCCTTTTCCCCACATAGCTCTGGTGCCCTTCACAGCACCCCTGAATCCATCTATCCAAGAAAAGTGCTTTATGGCCCCTTTTCCTAATGCATTTGTCTACCCCAGGATGGCTTAGAAACCTTATCAGAGCCTCTAGGGAGCAGGCCAGCAGAGTCTCTACACACAGGCAGCCCCAACCAAAGCTCAAATTCCACATAGAAGCTGAGAGGTAGAGAACTGTGTGGATATGTTGGCCACCCTGGTGCTGGTCACAGGGTACAAGGCAACACCCCTCGGGGTACCCATGATATGGAAGGACTCGCTTCCAGACCCTAAACTGGAGGAGGCAGCTTCTGCTTATCCAGAGTCCTCTCAGCCCTCTGACCTGGCCTGAGAAACTTATCCATATTCAGGACTGATGCCCCCTGGAGGCCTCAGGAACCAGTGCACTCCCATGCTTTGATTTAGGTTAGAGCCCAGGGTTTTTCCTCCCTGAAATTAGGCCTCCACAGACTTCATTCTTCACTCTCCTTAGCCCTTCTTGGATGAGCTTAGTGGGATGCCCCCCTTCTACGATGCTTTCCCTTTCTCTGTGAACCTCTGCTGCCCAGGGCAGGCTTAGGAACCTCAATCTCTTGCTTGATTTCCTTGGGAATTCAAGTCCAGAGAAATTGAACTATCTCCTTTTTTTGTGTGTAGGCTTTTCAATTCTCCTAACCAATAGAGTTCTGACTTTCCCCAAGGGGATATAAATGTGGGCCTGCAAATATCTTCATGGACAGAACTTCCTCCTACACTGAAATGGGTCACATTTAAGTTGGACATTGATCCACTGTCCCTTGGAATGGCTATGTCCCACCTGCCCTGCTGTGGATCTGAGTTTCTCACTGAGCCCCATGGAATGCTGGATATTCTGGGCCTGATGCCTGTTGCTGTGTACTTCAGAGCAGAGTACGGGTTCTCCCACCTCCCCTAGATTGAAGACTCAGAGTTAAAGCTTCAAGTAGCCTAAAAAAATTTGCTGCTCCCAAATGATCCCTCCCAATATCTTTCTCTTGCTTTGTTTATAATGATTATTCTGAATAGCCTATTATTGTTTCTCTGTGAATAAATAATAATGATTTGCTCATATCTATTGGACACCTGTGTGTGTTTGTCACTGAGCTAAGCAATTTATATGGATTATTTCATTTCAATAAATATATATAGTACTTGCTATGGTACTTCCACCTCCAAATTCATGTGCTGGCAGCTTAATCTCCAATGTAACAGTGTTGGGAGGTAGGGCATAATAAGAGGTGTTGAGTGTTAATGGCACTATAAAAAGGGCTTGGTGATATGGGTTCTATTGCACTCTTCTGTTCCTTCAGACACCAAATCTACTAATATCTTTATCTTGGACTTCCCAGCCTCCAAATTTGTGAGAAATAAATTTCTGTACTTTATAAATCACCCAGTCTCAGGGATTTTGTTATAGCAGCACAGGCTACAATGCCTTTTTCACAATAACCACAATGATCTCCAAAAATATATCTCAGATCACTTTCTGCTCCCACTTAAAACTTTTTTCTTAAAAATAAAATCAGTTCTAATTCTACTAGCCAAAGACCACCACTATGATCCCTTTATTTTTGATTCCAGCTTTTTCTACTCTTATAACATTCTTAATAGAAAGATGTGATTTATAAAATTCTTCTTAACTGTGTATCTCAAATATCAGCATTTTTAAAAATGTGCATATGGTTTCTCTATACATTTAAGCGAAACTTCAAATAACTGTTTCCTACTAATGAAAAGTTAGGTTTTTCTGGGATTTTTTCAATTTATAAATAAAGCTATAATGAACATTGGTGCACACATCTCTTTGTGCATTTTCCAAATTATCTTCTTTGAATATATTCCTAAAATTGGAGGACTATAGATGATTCTAAAGTATTCAGTCTTTAAAAAGTGTTTAGAGGTGTTGAACTGCTTTGTTTTGCATTCTTGTTTTTCTTCTTACTCCACAGAATCACTATCCAATTGTTAGTTTGTTTCATATGGCATCCAGTTCATCCCTACTGCTTAAACTTCTCAGTGGTTTATTGTTATACTATAAATCCAATCCAAATTATACCTGAGTTAAAAGATCCAACTCATATCCACCCAACTCATTCCTTTCTGCCTTCCTGGCACCCTCCTGCCTGCAGCCAGCCTGGCTTCCTGTCAGATCATCAAATAAACCAAGACCTCCACTCTCAGCACCTTTCTGTCTGTTCTTCCCTTGTCTGGAGTTCTCTGCCTCCTTTTGACATAGCTAGTTCCTTATCCACCCTACTCCAAACCTGTAGATTGATGATAAAAAGGGACCTTCCTTGCCCACCCTTTTTAAACACTCTGTCCTCCACCATTGTATTCTATTGATTTCCTTTACAGCTTGAACTTGAACCATCATTGCATATTTAGCTCCTTGTGTTGCATATTTGTTTTCCTTCCCCACTAAACTATAATTTCCATAAGGACAGAGACAATTTCTGTCTATTCCCAGGGTCCATCACTTTGTCTTACCAATAGTACTGAGCAGTAAATACTTGTTGAAAAATCAACGAACTGATAGGTCACATGTGGCCACAGAATTGATCACACTGGACAGACCTACATGAGCAAGTTGTGAGCCCATGTAGGACCACAATATAACTTTCTGACACATCTCAGTAGAGGCTTTGCAGTGATCCACAAATCTGTGAAAATCATTAAGACACATACCAGCCAAATCAAGGCATCACTTCCATTGTCAGGCACCATTCACACATACTTGGTCCAAGGCCTGAACTGGAAGGAAAATGCCCACCATGATTGGATCTAGGAGGAATGAAGTGACCTCACTTTGAGGACCTTTTGCATGACCTAGGAAGACCACTAATTTGTTATCTATGGAAATCAGCCCAAGCAGTCTGTTTTTAGGCTGGTAGTGGAGTCATTTAGGGATTCCCACCCAAGGAAGGGCATCTTAATGCTATTTTATTCCTCTCCTACCTTTAGGTACTCACAGGTAAAAGGTTAAGACTGGGAACTTTGAGCTTAATACTAGTATGTAAGTACTAGTATTATTGCTAGTACTTTGCTCAAAATAGGGGTGCAGGGGAGTGACAGACCATCACATGAGAGCTCTCAAGAAGACTCTACTGGTGTGAGTGGTTGATAAATAAGAACACTACTTCTGCTGGCCAGGGCATGTGGCTCGGGCAATTTTGTACATTATCAGAATCAGAAGTATAGGCCCTATAAAAACACCTGCCTTAGAACTTTCAAGGAACTTATCTGTCCCTTAACCTGCCTCCCATGTCTCAACCAGAGGGGATAGAAAAGACCAGAAAGATAAATATAATCAAGGCTTTCATATGGATGATCTAAGAGTGCCCCCTGACTTTTGCAAAGCCTCCACAGTCTTCCACAGGTCCATGGACAGATACTCCTATCCTCAGCCCAGAAATTATGCTATTTAGAATGAAGTCTTAATATTTTCCATGACCTGTCATGATTAGCCTTCCCAATCATTTCCCAAATTGTTGGGTGCCTTCTCTGGTAGTCATCAAGCTAGGTGCCAGAGGCATGAAGATAAGTAAGATGCTACAACTTACCAGTTATAAGTTTCACAGCTACAGATTCAATTCTGTTCTCTGTACTTCATCAGCATTATGACCTGTTGCTCTGAGCTTTAGTCTTTTGAACAAAAGTGAAAATCATAGTCTGTTTCCTCCATCACTGAATGCTGTTTATATCTCAATTATCTCTGGAATTGGCAGTCAAACTTTGGTAGACTAGAGTTCAGGAGTGGGTAAGAAGATCCTCATTCCACTGTGGGGAAAGGGAAACCTTGGAATGGAGAAAAAGGGGCCCCCCACACTTATTTTCTACTTGGGCTTCAAGCATTGCTTTCATATCGTGAAACTGCTTTCCCTGGAGCTGCTAGCTGTGTTCTGGGCAAGGGTCTTCCCCTGCTCTTCTCAGCCCCATAGTAGATAGGCAAAAGACTGTCGTATTATCATAAATGCAGAAATGGTGATTTGGAGGTGGCTGAAAGTCCCAGGGATTTACCCTCTCTTGCTTTCCTCTCCTGAAGTTTCAAAATACGGAGCCCATGGGGAAGGTGGGTACCCTGCCTACCTGTTTGTCTACCTTTTAGTTTAGAGCTGGTCCCGACAACCCATCCTTCACAGTCCCACCCCACAAGAACCCAGCAAAAACATCTTGGTGAAGACATTTATTTAATATGGGGGGTGGGGTATTGCTGTCTCTGTCAGTATGTAAAGGGTGGTAGGGAGACAACCAGAGGGACTTCTGTCCT